TGATTTCTTCATATTTGTAACTTCCATTAAAAAAATAGAGGGATAATAATGTCCACGCAAATATGTCAAAATAACATGGCAGAAAATTAAATAAGAGAAAAGGAAATAGTATTTATGACCAAATAAATAAATGTTAACACACCCAACTTACAGTCAGGCCTTTTTGCATTTGATGAGACAAACTTTTCATGACAAATATTTCAGATCGTAACAATCTGTTTGCATTTATTATGTGGATGATTTTTTTGTACATGATACTATAGGATCACATAAATATGAGCATAATCCTTTTGTTGAAAAGTAAAGTTAAAGCAATCCTCACCCTCTGCTCTATCCTCAAAAGGGGAAGCAGTGCTATAAGGTTCATTGGGGCCTATGTGCTTCTTTTATAGTCAATGATTAAAAACCTCCACAAGAAGACAGAAAATGCTTTCTTTCTCTCTCTCCTTGAGGGGATCAAAAATTCTCATTAAACAGAAGTAAAGAATACTTGCCTGAGTTATTGTAGTTGCATCAGCGATAACAAAGGGAACATTCACAAACCGGGCCAAAGTTTTGGCAAGTAATGTCTTCCCTGTCCTTGAAATGGTGTAGATAATCAAGTTAGACTAGTAACCAGGAGTAACAAGACACCCATGATTAACAAACGAAAAGAAGGTGGAAAACAACTCAGCTCGAACGTTTTTCATCTCTTTTGAATTAAAACGTGATTTTAACGTTCTATTATATGATGAAAAATATAATACACAACCCCAGCTATAGAAACACTTACATTTGCTGAGAAAAGTAAAATTTGAATTACCTGAACCCGTTGGCCCCATTAGAAGAATATTGCTTTTCTCAAGTTCAACTCTTTCTTCATCAATAGCATCAGCCTTATTGGTACTTGAATCTCCTGCAGGCCTAACATTTCAGATAGTAAGAAGAGCATGTCAAAAGCAATTTCTACACGTTACCAACAAGGCCAACACAATAGAAAGATTGTTGTTTAACATGCGACCCAAGACAGCATGTGGAGAAAGAACAAGTGGGAAAAATGAAAGAAAAGGTAGCACAGTGAAATAATATACTAACTGCTTTTGAGACGATTCATGAAAAATTCTCTTGTAGTGGTTGTAAGCTGCCACGGAAAGTACCTGCATTTAAGGCATATATAATTAAGAAAACTGAGAAAAATTCTGGGAAAAGGAGTTCATCGTCCCGTTTACATCAACATTATAGTTTATAGAGGAATCATCGCCAAGGGAATATACTGACAGAAGCATTCATTGGACATACAACTTAACATTCTCCAAAACGATCACATAATCCACCAGATGTTGCCCCACACGGTCACTTCTAACTGACATAGTATTGCCACTTTATAAATAACCAACAGTAACTCCACTAACGCCCCGTGAATAATAATAATAATAATCAAATATCACCAATAGCTGACATTCTCAAGCATAAAAGTAAGACCTTCATGCAAATAACTAAATATTCAAAATGGCAGAGTACGGTTTACTAAAAGCATCGACACCGACATTGAATACGTGATAGAAACCACGGCATAGACAAAATATGCATCCTTTCAATATAAATTTGGAGAACTGTATCGTATCTAATACGTCTGTGTCCAGCACAAACGGATCCCCGTGTGGGTTGCAATGCAGACTAATTGAAACGGAACTGAGGAAAGAATCACCTTCTTAGCCCTCTCCTGCCCAATTACAAATTTATCGAGTCCTTCGCAAATTTTCTTTGGCGTTGGAATATTACTCCCCAAACTGGATCCACCAGAGAACTCGTCCTCAGAATTCGAGCCAGAATCAGTTCCTGAACCGAGACTACCATCACCTCCGCTGTCGCCACGAACCATATTGAAGTTCGAATTGTCCATCCGAATGTTAACGCCGTCCCCAGACCACAGTACTGGTGGCTCTCCATCGCAGTTAACAGTAAAATAAGACCTGCAACTCCATTTCTCACTCATTTTTCTATGAGAAATATTACTGGGATTTTGGTTCGTTCTGCGACCCTCTACAATATGAGTGCCGTTTTTTTCAAAGTGAAAGACGGGCTTGGACGAAGTGAACTGATAAGGAGTGATTATGAAGTGCTCATCCCTCTTTGTTCGGTGCGTAAAGTGAGAATTTACAATACGACTAGCATGCATATAGTTGAATACATAGTATCTGAATTGAGAGGCCGTTTCCTTGGAAAGTTTGGATCTAAGCACAGCGGCCATGTGAGTAGAGAGCATTCGGCAAAGTTGAGTTGGGATTAAGCTTGAAGAAGAGAATGTGAAGCGCGCCAAAATATCTCCGCCCCGCTGGAAGTCCGCGAAACAGAATCTCCAGGATAAAAGTAAGATATTTTTTGTAAAGACAATGTAATAGAAACCCCGACGCGACCAACGAATGCATTAGACTTAATTAGAAGACGACAGAGGTGGTTGGCCAAAAAAAAAAAGACACAAAAAGAAAAAGAAGAAGACACAAAAAGAAGAAGACAGAGATGGAAAAATATGGAACGCGTGAAAACAAGAGTATATGTAAATAAATCCCTTTTTTGGCAAAATATGTAAATCCCAGTTTCCAGGAATAACGCTCATCAGCTTAAAAGTACTTTTAAGACATGAAGTAAATATCTAGAGAAGATTATCTCCATTTGTTTAAAAAACACTTTTCATAATACCCAAACACCCTCTTATTTTTTTACCATGCTAACACTGCCTCAACGGCCCAATTTAATTTTTAATCGAAATACTATCATTATTGTCGGAAAATGATTTTCATTCTATGCTATATTTTATTAATTTAAATAATAAAAACAAAATTTCAGTCTCCCCACATCATTTTTCCTGAACCCTTCTAATTTCATTTCTTTTATGGGCTGACATTTTATGTATTCTACTTAAATTTGATTCATGCCGTTCCATGAAAGATTGTAGAGGTTTAATTATCAAAATTTGATTGATATAAATTAATAGTTTATCAAAGTATGAACCAAATTCTTGGGATTAAAAAAAGGAATCAGATTGTAACATTTAAATTATTATAATTGCATTCGATGAAAACTACGAGAATTTTTTTCCCCCTTAGAGATTAATTGCAAAACTGATCCAGATATCGCGTTTTCCCATAGTTATAATTAGCATCCCATTATTCTGTGCTATTTTATTTTATTTTTAAACGAATATTTCTATTCTGTATCTCGGCCATGAATATTCCTATTATTATCACACAACTCACACTCTCTTTCCTGGCAAAAAAATAATACTCCTCCGGTCCTTAATATAGGACCCAATTGTTGAGTTGATTTTGGTCCTAAATATAAGACCCATTTCTCATATTTATCAGTTTTCTCTAAATTACCCTTATGGATGCTCTCTCAACCATAATCAAGTGGAAGAGGGAGAGGGGGTATTAAGAAAGATGATTATGATGTTTTAGGAAAAATGTGTCACTTTTCTTATAATTAACTAACTTACCTAACTTCCTTAATCTAATCAAATTAGTTAAATGGGTCTTATATTAAGGACCGGAGGAGTAGAAACACATTCTCTTTTTTTGCCAAGAACAATCCCATTTCATTTAAGTACTAAACGTGAAAATCTCATCTAATAAGTACTCCTCCGGTCCTTAATATAAGACCAATTTAAATAATTTGATTAGATTAGAGAAGTTAGATAAGTTAGTTAATTATAAGAAATATGAAACATTTTTCCTAAAACACCACAATCATCTTTCTTAATATTTCATCTCCCTCTTTTATTTGATTATGGTTGAGAGAGTATCTATAGGGGTAATTTAGAGAAAATTGATAAATATGATAAATGGGTCTTATATTTAAGACCAAAACTAATTTAAGAATTGAGTCATATATTAAAGACCGGAGGAATATTTAAAATCTTTCTTTACTATATTATGAGGAACGCTTGATAAAAGAAATCTTTTTGTTTAATTAATTTTCTCAGCCCCCCCTCCGGGTCAACTGAATTGGCAGGACGTTTTGCTCCCCCCTAAAAAAAAAAAACAGAAGTAGTCTCTTTTATTATTTTTTGATAAAACATAGATATTTTTTTATTGAAGACAATCCTATTCGAGATACTGTTGGGCGCTAAATGTGGACAACTCTCCCAACAGAAATTCGAACCTTAGTTCACCACGTTGTGGGAGACTAACCCCTTTTACTATACCCAACCCCTGTTAGTGTCTCTTTTATTATTTTGAGTAAATAATATGGAAGTTATTTAGTTGTGGGTTGGGTTGAGTTAGAGCAAAACGTCCAGCCCAATAAATAATAGATGATGAGTACCATACTGGCTTAAATAATAGCACCACATAATTCACTTTAACATATAATAATGATTATATTTCGCTAATGTAATTAATGAAATTCACGCTGGCAAAAAAATAATAATAATGAAATTCACATCCATGACACTCGAGCCCGACAACAGTACAAATCGAAGGTGATGCAAAATAAGTATCTCATCTCAGCTTGCCTACATAGTTTTGTGCTAAAAGCCTAAAATAATTCCCAAGACATGCTTCCGGCGAATCATGGCTTCAAGCTTATCCAGAGGTTATTAGGATGGCTGCACCAATTTTGCTAAATCTGAGCATAAGCTCACTGCAAACTGAGCCACTACACACAGGCTCCATATCTCATCACTCGAGTGATGCATACTTTCAAGTAGATGATGTGATAACAAATATGACTTGGCTTAACCTTTCCAGTCGTCATTGAGTTTCCACTTTCCAGTAAGAAAATCTCGTTGATTATCATTAAGAACCACGTAGCAGAGTTGGAACATCCATACATTTCCGATTCAGAATATTCTCGTTAATTATTGATATCCCCTTTGCAGGGTTTGATAAGCCAAGCATCTTAAGATCCCAACGGTAAGCAATTTAGAATGCGCTTTAGCAAAAAGAAACAAACGAGAGAAGAACTTCGAAAAGAAGTTCACTAACTTATGTTGTTTGAACCCAACCACAATTTTGATAATATTTAAGCATCAAAAATTGAGTAAATTTATATTTCATTTTCATTTATTTTCCTTTGCAACATATAACATCTCATACGCGACCAAGTAGTATACGGATTGCGATTTCCAGACAGAATAAGTCTATTCATACATTCAGTTGAGAGGCATCACGGAGGCATTTACCTGAGTTGCATATGATGAACTTTCTGCTAAAAACTTCAGAAACTCATTCTTCTTTTTATTGAAACTGAACTTCGCTGCGTCCATCAAACTTTGTTCCCTTTTTATGTCCCCCAAAATCTTGTCCTTCTCCCCTTTCAAAACCCTCATTTGCCTCTCAATTTCATTGTAGCTATCAAACTCCACTGGGCTGGGGAACTTCACATCCACGTCTTCCCTAACATCATGGAAAAACAGGCCACACAAAAATAAAAGAAGAAAAACTGGTGAGTTATGATTATTTTGAACTGGCAACTATTTTCAATAGCTCAATATAACTTTATTGGACATAAGTATTCAATGATTTCATTCTTCAAGACAAACAGCATTATGAAGCCACAAGAATCAAGCTTAGCGTGGAATATTTTTTAACTGGTTTGAAGAACTGAAAACAAATTCCGGTCAGAAAACACAGAAATCAGATATTAAAGGAAGAACATACAGGACCAATTTACCACGTCCAACTCTTATGCATCGAGGTGCAATGTTGGCTGACAACATTGGTAGATGCATTTTCTTCAGTATTTAACATCAGTAATATAGACGATCCATTGAAATTTTTAGCACTTAGAAGACATTTTTTTGCAACTTTTGTTCTTGTGAGCTACAGTAGTTATCAGAGCCACAGCTTGAACCATATAACATAGAAGATATTTGGCAGGAAGCACTTTCAACTTTAAAAAAATAAAAATTCCTTTCTGAAATTGTCAAAAAGTACCCAAAAAATCCAAAATTAATATTTACTATTCAAGGGGGATATTATGATTATAATTTATAACATTTGAGGGCAAATATATACAAGATAGAAACTAAAAGGGGGAAAAACAAACAGAACAAAAGACAGCATATGCAAAGTAGACTTACCTTCTCTTCTCTCTCTGTTTTTTTTTTCCCCTCCAGCTGGCTTTGCTTCATTATCTGGCTTATGGGGCTTTCGATGCGTTTCAGTTAGAGAAATTCAGCATTACAGGATGGTTTTCTTGTTTTAACGAAATGTTTGTCTTCTTCATTTAGTTAGATATCTCAGAGAAGTGAACCATGACTATTATGGCAAGTTCAATCAGTGGGGTGGCATAATACAAGCATAAGTAGTCACATATGTGAACGAAAGAACAAAGAATTTTGATTTATGATGCATAAACTAAAATTTCGCATTCATCCCCTTACCTGTTGCCCAAGGAAAACACACCATTTGTCCTAATCATTCCTCCATCTAAAGAAACAGCCCCATCACTTATGCAAGGAAGCGCTTTCATCATTTCCGCCCTTGTCTGATATACTTGCAAACGTGAAAAAAGATTATGAAACAGAGTTTCTCTGAGACCATATCCACTGGGCGTTACACAAAATAAGTTCGAGCCGTCTATATTTATCATATTTACAGCAAAGCCGAGAAACCCAGCTGGACACTCCCCATTGGGTAGTCTTGGGTTTAAAATGTCCAGCCTTTTCTGTGGGTCATCAAGTACAAATTTACCAGCATATGGCCTACAGAAGAAGGGGAAAAAAAATCAGAACAGTATTTGGGAAATTCATTGATCCATTTCACCAATTAAAGACTAAATACGAGATCACGAAGTCATGCCTGAGAGATTCCAGACACATCACTATAAAACGACCATTCAAGGCCCTTCCAATTGAGGCGCCTAGTCCATGAAGACCAGAGCTCTTGTCTATGCAGCCATCGCTGTTATAAATTTCAAGAGCTTTAGCTCCTTCATAAGTCCTACAGACAATTGCCAGCATGGTCTCTACTCCTAGATACTCTGAGAAAAGCCTGCATTCCAAGTAGGTATAGTAAAGCACCTGCATGCATGCTTACATATTTCGAAACAGGAGGTTTTGAATATGTTAGCTGTTTCACAAACCAGAAGGTTAGCATGTAGACCAAACGTACCTACTAAGGTTATCATCCTCAACTTTCCCCAGGGTAGCAACAATACCCACAATATCCTTTGTCCATGAAAGATTAGATGCCTGAGTTCCATGATGAGTTTTCAGATGGCACAATAAACCAGCAGCAGATTTTTCATGTTGCAATATCTGCTCATTTATTGCCTCCTCACTTGTTGGCTGCAGATTGTCCGTTTTGCAATTCTTGGGCATGCTCGATGACTTATATTTCTCAAAGATATCTATTAAGAGGGTAAATAACACACACACACACACACGTGAAACTAGCTCTTCATTAATTTTTTTTTTGGGGGGGGGGGGGGAGGAAAGTTCATTGCAACGCTTTTTTAACAAATAACATTTGGGAGCCATTTGTTACACCATCATCTTTATCATAGTATCATGGATGTCAAGATGCATGCATTCGGCAATCTACTACACAAGAAACCTAAAGGCATCCAATATTGCAGGGAGACATAGGATGCTGCTATTCTGGGTGGTACCTCAAACCATAGAGATGCCATTATCATAAATTCACGGACTCCAACTCACTCTGTACACAAGTTAGAGTGCTCATGATACCTGGCATCTCATCCATTTAGATTGCCTTATCCATTATCAGAGTGTCAAACAAAGATAGAAAATGCCTTCAAAGGTAATTTTGGATGTACCTTGCAAACCAAGAATGGAATCGTCTAGTTTAGTCTTCTGAGTATTCAGAAGATTTAGGTTATCCTCATGCTGCTTAATTTTCATCCCTAACACTTGTAAACCATCTTGAAGTTTCTGCAAGCATTGCATAATGTGTGGTAAGTTTGTATTACCCATCGTCACTCAACTAAAATCAAGAGATCTGATAGGCATGCATACCTGGCATAAAGCAAAATGAAGCCAATTGAGTAACAAACAATTATTGTAAGACAAAAGAAATCCATTCCTACTGATAGATTCAACAGCACAAAATGTTTGAAAAATAAAAAATAAAAATAAAAATTCCAACCTGGGAATTTCGGATTATGGACCCTGCCTGTATAAATCCACCACTTTGCACATTGCCCTGCGCATCTATATAGGTTTCATTTGCATCTACGGGCACCAAGGCTGACGAAACAGGCTGTCCATCCATCTCAATGAATAAGCATTTGTCAAGTATCCAAATAAAGACTAGAAGAGACACTAAACCATAAATGGTCGGACAACGTCTTACATAAACAGGAAAGTTAACTTCTTCCCTGCTCTTTCCTTTCTTTCATTGGATACACAAGTACAGAGCGATGAAATTTTGCTCCGCCGAAAGATCAGCACTATATAAGGCCACTAGATCAAATTCTATCAGGTAATCTCTACCGAGAGTGAAACCGGGGTGTTTGTGTATATTAAATATTAGCAGAGAAGGTTGACAGAAAACAAAAACAAATATGTTGGTATATGAAAATATGTATATGTGGCGATGAAAATAGATGATAAATCATAAGTGACAACCAATATAAATATTGGAGCATATCACAGTGACCCGCGGGATTACATTTACGCAGCATATAGTGCCAACTCGTTTTGATGCTGTCAATAAGAACATGACCAAAAATCTTTTACGCCTATCAGATCATTATAATGCGATCCAAAACACGCGAAATCAATAAGTCATACAAAAATTTATGGTAAGGGCTCTCTCTCACATATTTGCGGAAATGCTAATCATCCTAGTCTATCCATAATGTATATGACTTTATGTCCTTGTTTTGTTATATGGTACCAAAGGAGGGAACCCCAAATTGAGTACTGAAAGACTAAAGTAAACTGAAATTAAAAATGAAAGATCAATTAACAAACGCAGAAGAAACAACTGACAACGAACGCTCATGTTCGAAGAATTGGGGATTTCTTTCATTTCTGACAGGGTAAAAAGAAGCATGAACTGTAAAATGGGATGGGTGACAAATGCGGCAAAAAGAAGACGGAAAACAATAATTTGAAGTTGCAGGACCACGCCGCACAGGAAAGACCGGAGCAGTTCAAAGATACCAGATAAGAGATATTATGAAAAAGAAGAGGCATGCAGAGGAAGGAATTCACCTGTTTGCTGGGTTGAAACATTTCTTCGAAGTTTAGAGTGAGGGAGCGTTCCCTGTCTCTCTCACCCGCCTTGCGGGCCCTGCAATTTCACATACGAACAGGGCAGTCAAGCTGAGCTTAAAAAGGAAGAATCCCTCCTCTCCCGCTGCCACGGTTCGATCTGGGGATTTTAGCACGAAGAAATTAAGAGCATGAATGTGTGTGTGGAAGTTGATTTATAAATTTCCCCCGGTCAAAGGACAAAAAGACGCATAAATTTTGATGAGTTGAAATGTCCGCTGCTGAAAAATAGTGTCAAAACTCAAAACTCACCATCTTGCGCCCTTTTTTTTTATGCCAGAAACAATCTTGCGCCCTTTCTATTAGTATTTCTTTTTTTTTTTTTTAAATGAGAATAGTGTTCATTCGTATTTTAAACGAACGTTGCCAAGCGGCGAGCGGAGGATCACGCGCTTTTCTGTTTTTAACCTGAACGGAAATTTTGGCGACGAAAAGCGGAACCTCCGCTTACTGAATTAAGCCTCGATTTACATTTTGTTTCTATTTTTTTTTCAAAATATCACTAAAATCACCTAATATATCTGATTAAAAATGATAGTTTATGGGATCAATATAAATTTCAAAATTTGTGATAAATAATCAATTTGACTAATCTTTTTAATATTTTTAGATTAATTACCAAGCTCTGAAGATAGGAATCAGTATATTAATATTAGTAAATATAAGTGCTTCCCTTTTACCTTCACGCTTTCAGTGTTTCATTCATGCACGCACGCAAGATGGATCCATCCATATAAAATATATAAGACTTATCCATATTCATTAAATTATACAATTCATACAAATTATAAGCCTCGTCACTGTTGGCCAAAAAAAAAAGCCTCGTGATTGATTTCACAATAAATCAACTCTATTGTTCGTAGAGTATGAGATTTTTTTGGCCAGCAATTAACAGAGTATGAATATGATACTACTTCCAGTCTTAATTATAAGACTTCATTTATAGATCATAAATAAAATCTTATAATTAAGACACATTTTAAAATGTGCAACCGCATGAAGAATAACATCAAGCTGATTTATATAATAAAATCAATTTATGTTTCATCTGACTATTGTTAGACCCAACCAATGAACATGCTGGCTCGATGTTCAGTGATGTATTTACTCTAATTCTGACTATGACAAACTACTTAAAAACGTGGATCAATATCATGCAATTTAATTTTAAACAATAATTTGGTTTGAAAAGGTATATTCAGCAACGAGAATACTTAAAAATTACTGAGCCACCGCGGGTCCTAACTAAATATGGTGCGGAAGTAGGCATATAAAATAAAAAATCATCTCAATTTACGTGAAAGTATTTGTATCGAAGGGTACAACGCTACTTCCTAGTTCCCATCTTTTGGGGCAAACGGTGATCTTGGCAGGTAGGGCGAATTTTAACATCGGTCACCTGCTTTAGGGCCTCCGCAATTTTAAATTTCGATCATTTCACGGGGACATTTGAACGTGGGTAATAAGTGGGCCTGAATGGCATGGACTTGGGCCCAGAAGCCATGTACTCTGAACAATAACTGTTTTTTCCAGAGCTTGCCCCTCATCGATCGGGTTCGTGGCCGAAGCCTGAAAGTCCGCTTTTCTTTTCATTTTTTTGTTCTTAAATTAAGTTTAACATTATTATTATTTAATAATTTAAAATGATCACCTCGTACTGACATAGTGACATTCAAAGAAAATACAAGTAGAGCCTGAAAGAACTAATTATGAAACGGGAAACAACATATAAAAATAGGAAAAATAAAAGAAAACCTACAATTTAGCCAGTAACAGTGATTTGGCTATGGATGCTGATGATGCACAGAGACAGCATGGACTATCGTTTTTTCTCTCCCAAGGAGGTGGCTGGAGGAGGAGGGAGAATGAGCTGTCACCCCAACAAGACGGTTGGTTGCACCAAACCTGAATTAGATGTAAAGTAACGTTAATGGACCATGATTACATTCAGTAGTTGAATAACCTGTTTTTGTGTCATTTGACCGCCAAATCAAATTAAAAGCACTCATTCACTCTCCGCGACAGAAGCAGATAAATTAGCGTACGTGCCACTCATCTCTCGTCATACCTATCCCCTTCCCAAGTGCGCACACTCAGCTGGCAAAATACGGAATACACTGCCTTACCAAATACACGTAGATATATTTGCAAATATATAGTAATCTCATTAATTCTGAAAATGTTGCTTACAGTGTCATCATTAAAATGTAGTACGACGGCGATGATGGAGTGGAGAGGGGAAGAGGAAGAGAAGAAGCTGGAGGGCATGAGTGTAATTTGGGAATCTGGCGAAACACGGAGGAGGATGTGAGGTGGGAATGGTTCGTGATTAAAGAAGAAGCAGTGAGAAGGAAGATATTTATGATGAAAGGGGCTGCTCACCAGAAATGAATCCCCGCATATAAATGAGGAGTAAAGCGCAAGACGTACCCCTCCCACCTCTCAAAATGTGAATTCATGCCCCTATTTTCAATGACTTCTGCTTTGCGCTGGCTATTTTGTTTAGGAAAAATCGTTATGAGGTTTAAACATATAATATAATGGCCCCAAATTTCTCACAGCAAATGAGCAGAATGAAACCTGCTGCTATTTTCTCATTTCATGTTAGTTAGTAGCATTTACTGGCGGCGAAATTTTTGTTACAACTTCATAGTAGGTTTTTTCTTTTAAAAAAATTTAATCTTTTAGTTCTTATAGTTTTAACACATATGTATATCAGTTTTTATACTTCGACTCGATACAATTTAATTCTTATAATTTTGATTTGGTTATAATTCAATCTGTGAAGTTTGACTCGCGGTAGCTATAACCGCTGCCACAATAATTATTTGGGCGTCGGCTCCCTGTTAAGCAGGTAACTGGGAATAAACAATAAAGGATCACGCTCATATCACACCAAATATGCCCTTGTGACCTCCAACCGCCTCTCATCTTCAACCAGTGGCAATATAAATCACGTACCGATACGGGTCATCTTATAACATACAAAATACGATTGTTGACTCATTCTGCCGTCACCTATGAATCACAATTACAAGAAGACGTTCATTATCACCCTCGAAAGGTTGGGACCCATAAATGGAAGCAGCGAAATCGGTGAAAATAGACAGTGCAGCTTAGCTCGTGACCTCTCCCCACTCGCTCCCTCCTTTCCATCCACCACACCTTTCATTCTCTATTGCCGCACACTCACCCTTCTCTCTCTCTCATTTTCTTCTCATGTCCCCCAGTCTATCATACGTTCATAATTTGGTTATGCCCCAACACAAATATTATCTTGTTCCAACTCTATCAATGTGTCATGCAAAACCCCTACTTGATCATTTCTTATGCTGATTAACTGCGGACATAACATAAATTTTATCCAAGCTGGTTACAGCATTAAAAAGGATGAAGTCCCCCCCCCCCCAAAAAAATCACCTCATTATATTAAATATTCAACGAGGCGCAAAAGAACAATTGCGTCGTTAGTACACCTTAATATAAATCTGCTAACTACCGCTCTTTAGTAACTTTCAAGCTAAAACTTAACCCCACCTTTTTTTTTTTTTTTCCTTTTTTCACCTTGTGAAGTCTAGCTTAATTATATGTTTGCCATCCACGCCACTTACCCCATATATGCTTACAACCTCACGCCCACATATACATATCCTTCACACGGAATCGAATCGAAATATATATACAGGAGGGTTTTTTTTTTTTTGGTTTGGGGGGGGGGGACAAAGCCTGTTACATGCTAATTAAAACTCGCCAGAAAACATATTATTAGGGAAACAAAATCCCCGCATGCAGCCAGAATTTAATACGTACGTAGACTGTTAAAAAAAAAAGAAATTAATAAGTAGATGTTATGTTACGAAATGCTTTTATGTAGTACAGGATAAATCATAGCCATGCGCGCACTGGAGACGGGGAAGAATTTTTCAAATAGGAAGCCATCCGGAAGACATTTTGGTGACGTGTCAGAACTCTATTTGTCCAGAGGCCTCCACTACGGAGGATCACATTCTCTAACGCCCGTGTATGGAATAAATACCAACGGCGATTGCGCGGGCTCACAGTTACTGATTTCTCTCTCCGTTTCTCTCCGTTGAAGCATTCTCTCAAATGACCAAACTTTACTTCGGCATGATTCTCAGATATGCCACCCACACTATGTAGAGTTTCCGCCCGAGTGATCCAAAACACCGTATTCATTTCAGGTTTGTTTCGGAGCTCATCTCCCTCCTTTTCAGTCCATCTAAAACTGATTGCCTGCGTGTGAAATTCAGTGGTGACATAGATTTGTTAGCATATGGTAATGTTGTTAGAATAGTGATTATATTGTAAGGTTGCTGAGAATGTATATTTCGGGCCTTGACGTGGATGAATTTGTCGTATAAATGATGGCATATTAAGAGGCCGACGATCTTTTCGCCGGAGATGGGGAAGAAAGGAGGCCGATGGTTCTCGTCAGTGAAGAGAGTTTTCAAATCGTCTTCTAATAAGGACTCGTCGGCGCCGGCGAGGAAGGTGATTGTTCCCCTGTTTTGCCCATATAGTTCTTGTTTAACAGTTTTTATCGGAGACTTCTGACATTTAATTTCCCGTTCATTGAAACCCGAAAAACGGTGACACTTGAAGTTAACGGAGGGATCCGTTAAATAATATCTTTAACAACTTGAATAATGCGTATCGGATATGTCAAATTTGGCACCAATATTAATAGGAGGATTGGCTGATGGATATGTATCTCTATAATTCAATGCTGTTTTGATCATACCTATGTGTATGAAGCATTTTCTCGCCGACTGCGCTGCTTAGATATCTTTATTTATTATTGATTGCAACTGGGAACTAAACTAACCCATCTCCCCCAAAATTAACAAACCTCAAAAAAATATCACAATTTGATATTCCGCAGCTAAAAGTAATGGCATCATCAAACTCTACCTTACGCATTGAAGTCCACTTTCTTCATCGCAACCTGAGTAAATGAACATCTTAGTTGTTTCTGTTGTCTTTTATATGCTCCCACGTAAATGCTGAGCTGCCTGGTCCTTTATCTTTAATCAGGACCATGAACCCCATACAGGAAGTGATCATGTGTAGGTATGGTCCACTATTATGTCAATATGTATCAAGTAATTATGCTAGGATACATGACACACAGCTATCATGCCACCCAAACCCATCATCATTCATCTCGAATCCTTGATCATCATGTGGCTCCTTTGTTAGATCCCAAATCATCTTAACATATTCTGCTTGTCACTTTCTCCTCCTATCATGCAAATGATTGCTGAATGATTGGGAGCTGAATGCTGGGAATTACTCGGGTTTCAGAAGGACAATGAAAGAAGACAGCCCGAAGTGGCAGAGGTTGTGTCTTTGGAGCATTTCCCTGCGGAGAGTTCTCATGATGATGTCATCACCAACGAGAATAGTATAGCATCCACGCCAGTGACTGAAGATAGAAACCATGCCATCGCCGTGGCGGCGGCCACAGCTGCGGCGGCAGAGGCTGCGGTTGCAGCGGCACAAGCAGCAGCCAGAGTTGTTCGATTGGCAGGTTATGGCCGCCACACTAAGGAAGAAAGAGCAGCAACTCTCATTCAATCATTCTACAGAGGCTACCTAGTAAGACTTTCTCATTGTCTGCTCAGCATACACGCGATTTCTGTCAACTTCCTACTTTACGAGGCAATTCGTAGCACAAACTGTCAGAGATCACCCTAAATGATGATAATATCATCTGCCTTCAAAGTTTTACAGTATATGCTTTTTCCGTTTTTGGTACCCTGTTATTAAAATGCTGCCCAACTTGGGGCAATGAAATCAAATTGTGCAGGCTCGACGTGCACTGCGTGCCTTGAAGGGATTGGTGAGGCTGCAAGCACTTGTGAGGGGGCATAATGTGCGGAAGCAAGCACAAATGACAATGCGCTGTATGCAAGCATTGGTTCGAGTACAGGCAAGAGTAAGAGCTCGGAGATTCCAGTTGAGCCAGGAGCGACTTCAGAAGACAGAGGAGGAGGAGGGGGAGGAGTACGAGGAGAGAGAATTCGAGGGTCAAGTTCCAAAGCCTATGAGCCCCATGAAAAGGATTGACCTGAATAGGTGGGACAATGGGCATCATGGCAGCCAGAAAATCCAGGAAAATGATGCCCGCAGACACGAAGCAGTAATGAAGAGGGAGAGAGCTCTGGCTTACGCTCTGAACCCTCAGGTTAGGAGATTTCCTTTTGGTAGGCGGAAGGGCACCGAATCTTATCTCCCTTTTTTCCTCTTAAACTAAATCCGCATGTATTTGCTCTTTGCAGCAACAGCAGAAGCCATTTCTGCCCTCGGACCCCAATGACAATGATGTCGGAACCATCCGGTACAACAACGAGCGTGAAAAGGCCCCGTGGGGTTGGAACTGGTTGGAGCGTTGGATGTCATCACAGCCGTACAATGTCAGGAACGTGGGGCAGCGTGAGACTTCGTACATGGCCCTTGCCACCACAACCACCACCACTACCGACGACATGTCTGAAAAGACGGTGGAGATGGACATGGTGGCACCTTTAGGCTCAAGCAACATCAGCGCTATGGGCCTGATGAACCAGGAGTTTCTGGATTCAAGCCCAATGTCCAACAGAAAACACCATCGACAATTCAGTTTAAATGCGCCCAGCTATATGGCTCCGACCCAGTCCGCGAAAGCCAAGGTGCGAGGCCAGGGGCCGATCAAGCCACGGGGCTCGCCTGGGCCCCAGTGGAACTCATCCACAAAGAAAGGGCCTGGTGTCGGATCGATGTGTGATTCTTCAAGCTCTGGCGGAGGAACGTCCGGTTACAAGTTCCCGAGGAGCCCCAGCCCCAAACTTAATGGGAGCCGCCCGCAGTCTAGGCGGATTGCAGGCAGCAGCCCGGATTATCCTGGGTTTGAGGACTGGGCACTTCCTCTCGGAGGCCATGGTTGGGCATGATGTAATTTGAGTGTGCTGGTTTCCATTGTCAAGAACATGTTAATTATTGTTATTATGGCATGGAATTGGAATGTGTGGAGGTTGGTGAAGGAGATTTCATTCATGTCATGGACGACAAATTTTGAGATTTGTAAGAGAGGAACCCGTTTCATGTTGTGTCAACTCGTAATGCTTGTCTCCGCTAAAAATGCATCTTAATTATGTATGGCGAAAGCACCGGGTAATGCTGTTCATAGAGACCAGGCTGTAAAATGTTTCTCTTCAATAATTCTTCTCTGAAATGCTTTATTATATGTCTCTTCGAGGAACTGCTCAGCCCAATGTAATCGTGGGCCCATTGCTAAGGGATCATATCATAAAGTATTATTTGCCCCGCTGATGATGAAGATGAAAATTATAATGGAGCAAGCATTTACATGTTTATACAGTACTCCCTCGTTTTATCACACTGTACGCTTCCCTCGCGTTAAAACTTGAAAATGAAATACCCTTTGCTGCTTTGCATCTTCAAATTTGGGACCTGTTCACTTCACTGAATTTCTAATTTCCTTTTTTGAAAAATTGCGTGTTTTGCTTTTTGATTTCAAATAAAAATAGTATTTTTTATTTCAAAGAAAAAAAAAACCCTTTTACTTAAATTTTGTTCCATATATTTCAGAGATAAAATTAAATATATGCGTGTGTAATAAATAGTACCAGCTAAATACAACTTACTGAGTTTCTTGTTAATGAACCTCCAAGGCCAGGTAATCCCGCGCCATTACCTTCCTCATTCTCTCCTTTCCGAGTAGGAGTGGAAACAGGTCAGGCCAGGTCAAGCCTCACCCTTAACAGGCCTGGCCTGTGGTGAGGCCTGTTGGCCTGAGCCTGGCCTGCAGCCTGTGAAGGGCCTTTTAATTGGCATGAGCCCGGCCTGTAATCAGGCCTGGTCTGGCCTGTGGCCTGTTAAGAGGCATGTTTTTTTAATAAATTTTAAACACACATAAATCAATTCAAAATTATAATAATTCAACCTAATTGATCTAAAATACAAACAAAAAATATGAAATTATCAAATTAACACAATTTGTAAAACATGTCCCCTTAGGCCCAAAAAACAAATCTAATATGAAAAATTATTAGAAAACATAATTTCATTCTGATATAAAAATATCACTTCATCCAATCTCTAGTATAAAAATTAGTTGATGACTAGATCTAGTTTAAAATATGAAACATCCTTAATCCCTTTTATATTTTCAATTTATCATTTATTGATACTAATTTACTAACAAAATGATATTTGATATTGTTGTTACACATGATTGTTTTTTTAAAAAAATATTACAGTTATTATAATTTATTTATTTATTTAAATTAATTAAGTAACTATTATAATAAGAATTAGATTGAGCACACATATTCACGGTCTAAAACATAATAGGTCAATTCTATATATATATATATATATATATTCTATAAGCATGGATCAAATAAATGAATGATGCTTTTTTTTAATGCACTTATGTTTTCTTTCTCTGTTCAAATATGTATCATTATACATACATCGATTATTTTTATTATAGAGAATGGAAATGAAATGACGCATGCAATAGGCTCTAGATAACACGTTTATGTGTACAGAGTTTTCTCAATTAACCAATTAGAATAGCAAAGCCCTCCTATCAATTTATAATTTTAACATAAAAAAAAAGATAACAGGCCCAGGCCGCCTGACAGGCCTAACAGGCTTACTATCAGGCCTGAGCCTGGCCTGATAAAGCAAACAGGCCTTTATACAGGCCTGAGCCTGGTCTGATATCTAAACAGGCCAGGCCATTTATAGGCCAGGCCACAGGTCCCTGACAGGCCGCCTGACCTATTTCCATCCTTATTTCCGAGGAAGCGAGTCCAGCTGTCCCTTTTTTAAAAAAAATATATTTTATAAATTTTAAACCACTTTACCTCCCTTCAATTTCTCGCCATTCCGAAACCCTAGGTTCAATTACAGAGTAAAATGATGATTGAGAATTTTAGAGGCAGAGCCAAAGTATGTGCAGGCAGAGACTGAAGTTTCTTTCTCCATCGAACCCAGTGCCTGGATGCAGGCGATTCCTCGGGAAGCCCTCCGTTGGGACAAGAGCTCCCCTCAATCGGAGCTTCTTCTCTGAATCCCTGTTTCTCGTGCCGTTCTGGCTCGTTAATTGCATTTCTCTGCTTTTGTTATAGTTCCCTCGATGGTTTCAAATCCGAATTTCATCCATTACGCCTGCATTGCGAAAGGAACCACAATTCTCGCCCAACACGGGTCCAAGGAACCACACATCGAAGAATTAGCGGCAAAATGCCTTGAGCAAGCTCCTCTCCACCACTCCATGTTTTCTCACACTGTTAAGAAAAGGACCTATGCGTTCCTAATTGATCAGGCATTTGTCTCTTTCGCGATTTTCGATGATAAGCTCGTGAAATCGGAGGCCCTTTGGTTTTTAGATCGCATCAAGTGTGCGTTGGACGCGATATTGGAAGGCAGGTCTGTCACGGATTCTGATTATTTCTCGCCGCTTTGTTTCCAAGCTCAATTCGATCCTATCTTTGGAGAATCAATGGCCTCGGGTTTGCAATCGGAAAAGCCACTGCAAGGCGAAAACAAGAATGATCGAAATCCGAGCGTAGGGTCCGTGAAAGGGAAGAAATCGGTGATGGTACCTTTGCTGGAGCAGCCTGGTAAAAGTTTGAAGAAGAAGAAAAGGGTGAGCACAGAAGGCAATGGAATTGATGGTAATGATGCTCCGATGGAGAATAAATTGGATGTGGGTGATGATATAAATCGTGGCACCAGAGATTTTGCCTGGTCGGTACCCAAGGGGGCGACCGGCGATCGACAAAAAGCAAAGCAGATATGGAAGAAACATGTATGGATGGTGCTATTGCTGGACATATTTGTTTGTGCAATGCTATTTGTAATTTGGTTATGGGTGTGCAGAGGGTTTAAGTGCATGCAGAGTTGAATTCAAAACAAAAATGGTCTCTCTCTTCTTTAGGGATTCTTCGCTTCTTGTTTGAGTTATTTCTCCTGGAAATTGCTTGAAAACCATGAAATGCTGCGCTATCATGCATCGACATCGATCAATGTTAAAAAATGGGTATATTTCTCAAATAAGCAATTGAGGATTCGGTGTGATTTGGCTCTTTTTATTTCTTTCCATTGGAAATTTCTTTCCCTTGATAGAAATTACTTACTGAATATAGATATATATTGTTGCACATCCATGATCATCATGTTTTCTGGTATGAAACAACCATTTGATTTGAACAGTTTTTTAAAATCGCAGAATTCGGATATGACATGCAATATATCGTGTTTAAGCATCCCAAGGCCTCAGATCAATGATGCATGTCTCTTTTTATTTCTTCGAATTTGCCTGAAATATGGCTTTTTACGATATCATTTACCTAGCTCCTCCTTCAGTGATCTTGTATGCATGGAGCGCGCGAGGACGGAAACCTCAGGCTTTTTTTTTTTTTTTGGATATTATGATATGATCCGGTTAATGGAATCCTCTCAAGTTTTTATGATATCCGTTGGATAGAATCAATTAATGTCTTTCCAAGGCCCCGTCTTTCAGTTTCATATACTCCCAGGTTTCATTCCGGTTTCACACGAAAAAAATTAAGGGAAAGATTATTTGAAATCTCAAAGGGGTAATAGAATTAATAAATTTTTTTAATGATAAGTAAGCAGAAATTGAATGAGTTACAATGCAAATTATTCACCAATAAATATAGCAAATTGGATCATGGTAAACATGGTGATATTCATTAGCATCACCAAATCCCAGATCTGTCGGTTTTGAAATTCGTTGGTTGAAATTCTTCTTTAAATCATAGGACTACGCGTTACATTTGAAGGTTAAAAACAAATTTATTGAAAGAGATGAATGAAGAGGAGGGCAAGAGAATTTTTGGAAAATCGAATAAAGTGAACAATTAAATTAAACGTTATAAATGAAAACGAATCAGCTGAAAACAAAGTCTGAAAAAATCAAGCACAAATGCTCTCTTCGAATACAAAGAATATAGGTGTTTTTTTTCCCTTTAAATACCAGTAAAGGGCACATATAATCTCGTTGATGAAAAGAATATAAATTTGTCAAGAGATGTAAATTTGTAAATCTACATGAAATGAAATTGCCGGGCCGGATTTTTCTTTTTGGAGGGCGGGGGAAAGAAGAAAAAGAGGTAGAAAATGTAAATCCATACGATGAGCCCATCAAAATACCACGCCAAAATGCGTGGAAAGACTCGAGAAAACGGTTTTGAAGTGGGATTCTCGAACTCAGAAGGAGATTATAACACATTTATTGGGGTTAAGCTTAAAAGCAATTGTTACACTGAGATTGAATTATAGGACCTTATCCACAAATTTCGAGAGCAAACCGACTAGAGAAAATATGTGACTTCATTATAACTAAAGATGACAGCATGGAACAACCAAACACAGTAACCGCCTAAAACTTAACCACAAGGTGTGAGTTTTTTATTGCCCGCCCCTCGAGGGTTATCATCTTTCCAGTCATCCCAAGCTCTGGCCTTCTCCTGTGCAGCATCATCATCTTCATCCTCTTCCCCAGGCCTCAACTTCCCATCCTTGTACCACGATGAATTGGCTTCTTCCATGAGCCTCGCATTTCTCTCTTGCCATTTATTCATCATCTCCATTTCCCTGAGTCCAGCTTCCTCAATACTCATGGTTGGCAACCTTTCACAAAATAATAACATTCCACTAAGCGTCTTAGGAAATATGTAAGCACGGTACAAAAGTCCATAACATTTTGGCAAAATGCAAAAATAATAATATGCCACACAGATGGTTGCAAATAGAAGGGGATATATTAGTAACCGTAGCCTTCATCCTTGAAAACAATGATGATGATGATCGAAATTGACCTTCTTGCCGGCATTGTTTAGAGCTATATTTTCCTATCCCTAATATTTTCAATTTATTTGTCAAAGAGGAAATATAAGTACCTATAACCAGGTTGGAAAACCTGAGCCGCCATTCTTTCCCTCTCACTTGTTAGGCTTCCATTAACAAGACTGGCAGGTCCAAATATAACTGGTTGGTGTTTGTGATCATGTGCCTGAGTAACCTTTGCTCTTCCTTCTAGAACATCTTGAGCAAAAGTGGCGCATGTGATAGGCTGCGCTGGTTTAATGTACTGTGCACGAGTTGCAGCATCCCGATGCCAAGCCTCTGCTTTTTTTGCACGTTCATCAAGAACATCCCTAGAGAACTCCTTGTCCCCATCCTAGGCCACAGAAAAATCAAAAGAAATAATTAATAAAAAGAGCAATGTGAACCGACAAAAACCAATGTTCCTAATTTTGTTTTCACACGAACGACAAAACCAATCCAATGGAATCAATTATTTAATTTTCAAAAGCTTGAATGCTCATTCAGAACTGTGTCATTCAAAGAAAGCAAAAGGTTATCAGGATCAGATATCAAACGTGCTCTAGCGGAGTGTTCTACTTTGCTACAATGTCGAATGACATAAGCAAAGAAGTCTACACAATACTACAATGCCTTCATAGTGTATAACATCATTAGATTGTGACTCCAGCCTATAGGGTATCTGATTGTGCTTTGGGAAAGTTACCAGTCAATGAGTACGTTACTACCTTGGATTGTCTCTCCTTTATTGCCGAAAGCATCTCTTCCTCTTTCTTTAACATTTCTAGCAGATCTAATGCCTGAACATGGCGAGAAAAAATGAGAACTGGAAAGACACAATTTTGATATGTGGAATAAAGCAACAGAAGTATGAATATTGAATCCAACCTTATAGATTGCCAAAGATATGGTAGTAAACCATGCCTGCAAGGAAAAAGAAGAAAATCAATATTACTTTGAGAAACAACGGGTTTAGAAAACCAGAACAAAGCAGCAGTATGACAGAGATGCATCCATTACACAGAGATTGCTGAAAATTTGCATTTTGAATCAGTTATTTTTTAAATGTGATAACGCAGATATTTGTTTTCTACAAACGAGCTGAATAAGACGCGTGCGCACACAGAGATTGTAAACCTGAACCAATGAGGAAATATCCCCCATTTGTGCTCACTCCAACGCTTGGGGAAAAAGTAACCTGATTTTAAGCCCATCTAATGGAGACTAAATGAATGAAAGGAAAGATTATGATCAATTTTAAATGGCAGTCAAATATATCTGAGGAGCATACTGTGCCTTCAATGTTCATTTTTAAAGGATAAAACCTTCTACAACAATTGTCAAGCCAGGAGCCCCTCATCATCTTCCAAAATGAGTTGTTTATACAATTCAATGTAGACAACTACAAGAGCCCAGTTTCGTCAATAAAACCTTTTCTTTACACTCTAGGGTTGAAAAGAGAGACTCTTCCGTACAATCTGAGGCAGTATATTATCTTTTCAGGCTAAATTATTGAGACTAGAGAAGGAGGTAGCAATATGCTGATTCCAGAGAGTAAGGAAAAACCATTTTTTTAGGGGGGTGGAGGGCCCAATGGCTAGAAGATAGAATACAATCATAAGAGATCCATAAACCATCAATGACAATTGAAGAAAATCAAAATGACTAGCCCATGGAAAAGTTTTAAGTATGAATTTAACAAACTAGAGCAGAAGCTCCAGAAGAATAGTGTCATTTACGCATAAAGCACAAAGGATAGAGATGAAAACCTCTCTTTCTTCTTCTCCATCGTCATCCAATGCTTCTTCTTCTCCTGTCTCAACAGGGGTGGAAGATGCAGCAGCTTTGGTAGAACGGCCACGTCTCTCCTTCCTCTCCTTTATTTCCAGCAGCTTTGACTCTGCTGCTCTTTGACATTTAAATCTAGCAATCTACAAAAGAGGCCCCAAAATCATTAAATTACTGGTAAACTTCTATTCTCCATTATATCACAGAGTACATTTTGTTTAGATTTGCTTGTCCAATTCACATTAAAAGCAGGAAAAAGTTTAACAATACAAACTGTGTGTTAGTGTTAAACCTCGTTGATCATGTCAGACCATACTTTAATAAAATCTTACCTTTCTGGCCCTCTGATCAGCAACAGATTTTGGGGCCCCTTGCTTATAACATTCTAACTCTTCTTGTGGAACAAGCTCCATTGCTTCACAAAATGAGAGAAAATCCTGCAGAATGTTATTCTTAATAAGTTTTATTGAAAGACGTTAACTAAAGAATAAAGTTAATTACATGGACCTCTGAATTCCTTCTTCACTCTTTTGTCTTTGTCCCCTTTATGTGTCAGTAAGTACTAACCTTTAGCTTTGCCTCGGAAGCCTTAAGAATCTGTATCCTGTCATCCTGAGCTATTTTTTCAGTCAACTCGGCTAGATAAAATGGCACCTAAGGGGTTATTGTGAAAAAAGTTATTTGACGAAATCAGCAACCTTGCTTTAAGTAATAAAGCTTAGTTCATCAGTCAACTTCAACGGCTATGCCTTAAGAGCTGAAACAAATTTTACTGAATGATGCACATGCCCAACTTTAAACCCCACCCCCCCCCCCCAAAAAAAAAAAAAAACCACACACACACACACATCCTCCAAGAAAATTGACATAATCAGAGGGGGAATGCATAATTATATATATGAAGGAAGAAAAAGTAATCCAATTTGCCAGTACAAATTATTCAGCATCCTTATGAACGTTGCAGAAGAGAAAAGAATCAAACTACCATTTCTATGACGAAACTTAATCCATTAGAAATTCCACCTCTATATCATGTAGGAAACTGTGAATATAATCTAAGCGCATCGCGTAAATACTTTAACAACAAGGTATTGGTTACCACTTCAAAGGAAAACGAAGATTGCCCTAAATTCCTAGACCAGTTGGACGCAACCATTCGAACAAGGAACTTATAAAGATTGAACGTGAAGTTCAGAAATTCATCATATCCCCTTCTATCATAAACCGTCAAATAAGCCAATGCCAAGATCATTTCAAAATAAACTATTTTCACAGCTCATTGTGCTTCAATTTGGCGTTCCTGATAAACGACTTCTTAGTGCATAACTTTTAAGTTTCTTCTTAGATACAAGTAATATCTTATATGCCATACTATTTACCTTCTTTCAACATGTGCAGAAAACCGAAGTGAAAAACTTAAATATGTCACCCGATTTTCTAATTATTTATCCAAAGCAGAAATATGATTTTTTTCCCTCTTCATGTTCCAATGAGTTAAACAAAAAAGATCTGTAAGGTGAAGACGGGTAAGCATATCTTTGTTCCTGGTTTGTACTTATTGTTGACGGACATTTATATAAAACTAAGACCAGGAAGAAAACAATAAAAGTAGAAATTTTGAAGACTCATTAGTGGAAAATAGTAAGCTTGAGAACAGGAAACCAATCAATCAAAATTGAAAATGCAGTGAAAGAAACGCGTCCTCTGGTGAAGATTCGACAGTAGATTAGTCCATGAAAATCGTAATATTAGAGAGCTTTAATTACCACTTACGAGAATATACTTAAGACTCGTGGTACTAATATCATCTTTGGTCTCATTAGCCGAGAACAGACCCAGCTTATTTATCATGTCCTCGCACTTCCCCAGGGCCTCGCAACCTTTCCTCACAAGCTCCTGAACAAACCCCACCATCAAACTAGCAACTTCTAAAGAATAACGTGTCCAAGTCGAACTAGAGAATGAAACAAAGACACAAGTGTTAGCGCAGGCGTACCTGGTCAGCCCCAGACTCCGTTGCTGTTGTGTGAATCTTCCGGGCTTGCTCAAAGAGAGATGGTAGTGGTATGTCCTCCATTATGCATTCAACCATTGTGAATCAATCAAAGTAGAAAGAACAGCCGTATAGGAAAGCCTAATAAGTCAGATTCCCTCAAAATTCTGCAGGTGAAATTGAAAAGAAAGTAGGAGGAGTTTGGCGCTATTCTGAAAGGCGTGCTTTCCAGAAAAATGAAATTTCGGAGGCCAGAGGAAGCAAAAGTTCAAGAAGAAGAGCGAAAATGGTCGATAAACCCAGAGAACTCCAAGCCCCGAGCGTGGCTATTGAATGCGGAAGGGTGCACGGCATAAGCAGGACGCCCTGCGCATAAATCATGCCACCTCAGCTCATCTACTGTCAGAGAAAAAGGAAATCGATGTTTACGAGAATTCAACTCCTGTACTCCAAGAAATGTGACATTTATGCATACACACAGAATTTATAAAATGGACGTGACAAAAATATAATGTGAACTTGGTCCATAATTAATTTCTTAAAGCAGTATTCGCTTTTATGGATATTGAATACTTTAAGAATTTGAGTTAAAAACAAAGTTATGTATATTTTTTAAAATTATAAAGATATATAGCATAAGGCAGCCAACAAACATTTTAGTTCTCCACACCTTTAACAAATTAAGCCGCGCACTGCTACGTTTTATTTTATGGCCTGGATATCAATAATCAATCATATCGTGCATTGATTTATTTATATTTCTTATTTTTACCTTGAATACCACGTACTGGTTAAACAAGAGAAAGCTCCATGTTTGTGCAATCCAGATGAAGAGTCGAGTGGCGAAAGCGTAACATGCACAGCATGCTTGGCATTGCCATGGAATGGACGAAAAACCAGGCTTCTTTTGTGCGGAAACAAAGAGAAGAGGCTTCTTATTCAGCCATGTTAGCCGCAAGCTCTTCCTGATACAGATAGTGATGTTCTTCTACGACTTATCAGGCATGTCGTATTCCTCCTCAAGCCCTCCGTTTACCTTGTCCAGGCACAATAATTCTACATCTGATGTGTCTGTCCTCTGCGGAAAAGCCTTCTTCTGAGTTCCCCAAGTCCATATATGATATGGTTTTTAATTACATTCTGTCCTGCTTGTCGGATACTTGGAAATTAACCTCTTCACTTCTGTCACTGACCCTGTCTTCCATATCTTCATATAATAATAACATGTACGTAATAGTATCCGTCCTCAATAATGAGATGTACTATCTATCTTTCTGTGCGGGGAAAAGAAATGGACCCATCACCCGTGCGGCCATTGAAATCTCGTGTCAAATCAGGATCCGAGCTAACCAGAAAAAAGCAAGCACGGTATGAATACAAGTCAATCTTCATGGACCCAGTACACCCTGTTAAAAATTCGAGATCCGTGGTGGGAACACTGCGTACGACTTTGTGTTCCTCCGCCACTAAATTCCCATGTTAGGATTAATTGTCATGTGTCATACTGGTTGGATTAATATGTCTACCCTCCACCTAACCCAGAGAATTATTTTACTGGCAAATTTAGTATGTTTCCATGTTTGCTTAGAAGTCTGAAGAAACTAATGATAATCGCCGCCTGTGCGACGTTGTTCTCTCTCTTTGGCAGAAAGGGTTCACTCATCCCTGACCCTGAGGAAAGTGGGAAAGAAGAAAAATACAAGAGTCCAGGGAAACATGTGGGGCTAATATGGGTCACTCTCTCGCTGAAAAACTGGGAAGTGGGCTCAAATACATCATAGCTTTTCTCATATTCCGTTAACGTGATATCGCTCTTTCAACTGAATGTTCAGTCTTACACGTGTAAACATCCATTGTTCGGCCTTCGCTCAACCCATGCCCATTCATAAACGATACCTTTCACATCACATACATTGGTTTTCCTGTTTGGTCTTTCATGTCGGATTAACATCTCTAATAAAATATACTTCTGAAGCCACATATTCTCTTCCCTACTGCTGTCCATGAGATTCTGCAGGTTGAAGCCACATTTTCTTTTCCCTACTGCTGTCCATGAGATTCTGCAGGTTGCTGTAAGTTCTTCAGTGATGGTTATCATCTTTCTTTGCACTCTTCGTTTTTTACTACTGTTTTACATTGATGGAACGGGTAAAATATAAATAGTATCAATTATTGTATCAGAGATACTTGCTTCTCATTTATGATCCATTAAATCAAAGTCTTTCTCAATTACGATTTTGTGTTTCAGAGCCGAAAAAGCAAATCTTGTGGTGATGGGTGAGAAGGAGATCTCTGGTTTTGACATGAATGGGTCTGACAACAAGAGTGGTGATACCGTGTACCCTTTGTATTTTGGTGTTTCATGTGCGCTTTTTGCACTCCAAGTTCTCTCAAAACCTCGCTTTGAAATTGAAAGGTGGTGTGAGATTCGTAATATCATGCTTCAAGGAAGTGCACGGCTTTTAGGGTTGCTTGTGTGGAAAGTTCAGAAGCAAAGTCCGGATGGGGGAGACTGCGAACTCAGGAGTGCCAAGAGAGAAATTGAAAACTTGAGAAGTCTGAGACACGAAGATGCCAAAGCCAACGAGAAAGTTGTGAGCATCTTCGCTACACAAGAACAGAACTGGCTAAGCGAAAGGAAAATGCTACATCAACACATTGGGGCTCTGATGAATGAACTCAGGATTCTTGAGAAAAAGAAGGAAGAAGCTGCATCTGAATTAAATAAGAAATTGAAGGAAATGGAGGTTTTGGTAGAGTCTAAGGACAAGGTGTTGAAAGAAGAGGAGCAGAAGGGGACGGAGCTCGAGGAGAAGTTGACAGAGGCGGAAAGAAATGCAGAAGAGTTGAGAGAAAATGCCAAGCGTGAAATTCAGGAGCATTCATCTGGGCTCTGGAAGCAAAAAACTGCCTTCATCGGAAAGTTGTTGGAGCAGAAGGAGGAGTCAGAAATGATGATCCAGAAACTATCAATGGAGGTTTCAGAATTGCACAAGGAATTGGAACGGAAAGGCAGGATTTTGTCGGCAATGTTAAAGAAAGCTAAGCTGGATGCAGCAGAAAAGCAAATGCTAATAAAAGAGGCTAAATTGTCAAAGGCTAGAAGGAAACAAGCAGAACGAGAGACAGAAAAGTGGAGGGCAGTCACAGGTGGAAGATATAAAAGACATTCACTAAGAAGCATGTTGGTTCGCTTAGGTTCAACAAGGCTGCAACACGTTTCAAAAGAACCAAAACATTTTTCTCACTTATCTGATCACTACCTGCCCAAATCTTATGAGGAATCGGGTAAGAACTGAGAACAAATTACTCTAGATTTCTACTTGAACCTATATTATTCGTGTATTTAAAAAAAAAAAATCTATAACTGTAGCTTCTATCTGTCTGTAGATATTACCGGTAACGGGAAGCATTTGGAAGAATGGGTAAAAGCGGAGGCCCAAAATTATGCAGCTATGATTGAGCAGAGGCATCAATTAGAGCTTGAAGCTTTTGCAGAAGAACTGAGTAATAAAGCTGAGAAAATAGAGGCATTTCAATGGCAATTGTTGAGGATGGAATTAGAAACAAAGAAGCTGCAGTCCCACGTGAGAGGATTAATCAAGGATGTCGCACAGCTCAGACATGATAAGATGAAGTTGGAGACAACGCTGTTGGAGAGAGACAAGGAATTGACTTCCCCGAAAGAGAAACTTGCATTACAATTGAAGTCTCCAGACTGCTTCAAACATAACTTGCTGTTGCCTTCACAGTCATCAGAGCGAGCTGAAGATGCCATTTGGTCCGAAATCAAGAGAAAATCAGTTGAGAAAGAGCAAGAAATGAAGGAAATTTCGATGGTGGAATACTGCGAGAAGGAAGCGCTATCAGCAGAAATGGAGGACAGTCTTGTGCAGAAGAGGAATCTGAGTGAAGTAGACCTTGATGCTGCCGAAAACATAGCGTCCACCAGCCAGAGCTCCAATGAGACAAGCCATTTCCCATGGAAAATGGATCTTTATGCTGTTGGAGTGTTTTACAAGATCAAGAGGCTAAAGCAACAACTTGTTCTTGTTGACAGATTGATAGGACGGCAAGCCAGGGGGGGAGAAAAAGAAATTAATGATGACAGCAACATTGACATGAAGATTTATCTATCATTGACTTCTGTGCTGAATAAACAAGTTCAGAGATACCAATCCCTCCAAGAGAAGATGGACAATCTTTGCAAACTGATGGTAAAAATCATTTTTAAGTAATTTTGTCAGTTTCAAGTTATAATCCATTCATAACTCTACATACAGCTCCTTCATCTTCCAATCAGTTAAAGGTCACAACATCTTTAGTGATTTATTTTCTTCCTTGATTGGGGTAATTCTCAGATGTTATACATTGTTTCAGCATGAGAATAACCTACATGCAAATCGTGGGGATTTGAGTGCTGCAGCCACCAAGGGTAAAACAGAAACACTGGAGCAATTCCTAGAAGAAACGTTCCAACTGCAGAGATGCATAGTTGCATCAGGAGAGAAATTGGTGGAAATTCAATCCAGGATGGTTCCTGGGTTCGCAGGGGTGGCCAAAGAGATGGAGAAAAGTTCTGGAATTGACGCGAAGAGATTTGCCCATAGTATTAGAAATCTACTGCAGGAAGTTCAAAGAGGCCTTGAAATTCGGACAGCTCGAATAGTTGGAGATCTTGAGGGGGCACTAACTTGTCAAGGGATGATGAGGTTGACAAGATAGCACTGGGAAAGTGGGAACCTTTTTTGTTCCTGTGGCGCTTCACATGATGACCTTCGTGTATTTATATGTCTATACTGATTTCTTCAGCTTTTTTTTTTTTTTAACCAGGATTTCTTTGGCTAATAACATGGTAGTTTTGTACAGAGAAGTCACAAACAGATACCCCTGGAGTTGTAATTTTAAGGCTTTTTCTTTCTATATTCTACAATGTGTTCCATGCAGCAACTAATGGCTCACCAAGTTAAACATCAAGGCAAGAGTTCATCCTCCCATGAAGTTAGAGAAATTAAAAGAAAAGTTCCATTGAATCGCTTCATTGGTAAGTTTTTAAATCTTTAATCACATGACAGTGACCATAAAAGTCTCTGCTTACCGCATATCTGTCTGTTCCAGAATCAATAAACTATAACAATCTAAGGTATGTGTTTGTGTTTATACTGTGTGTGTGTGTGTGTGTGTGATATAACGATTTTCTCTGTGGGACAGTGTGAAATTGTTTTGGTGGAGTGTTCATTTTGCAACAGTCACCATTGGATGAAGCAAATTTAAGAATTTAAAAAAGAAAAAATGTTGGACGAAAAAGAGTATTAAACCAGGTTTTGTGGATCCGAAACTGTGAAAAGCAGTCACTTAGCATGTTGACTGTCAAGCTCCCACGTCCAGTCACGTGTGTCTGTCTCGTCCAGACCAACGATTGTCGAGGATGAGAAGATGAAAACTGATCAGAAGTCAACTGTTACAAATTATCTCGTTGGGATGAAAAATAAAATCTAATACTACCTCCGTTCCTAAAATCTTATTTAATTTTTATTTTAATCTTAAATATAAGATCTTAATTTATTTTGTCTCTTATATTTATTTATTTTTTTCAATGTAGTCATTCTAATAATGATAGTTTTGACTAATACACTTAATTAGTAATGATATTTTAGGAAAGACAACACCCATTTATTACAAATAAGTAACTTAGTTTCTTTTCTTAATCTCTTTAAATTAATTATCTGGCTCTTATAGTTAAGACTGGAGGTAGTATAATATATAATTAAAAAAAATTCATTTGAAAAATAATAAATATTAATAATAGTGATATGAGAAATAATTAGATACTCCATTGTACATGTTTTTACATTTAAAAAAGAAGCAAATTTTCCCTCGTGCTATCACCTGGATTATTGGTAAATTTTAATATTTTATACGTCGAGTCGGGGCAGCACAATAGATTCAGCTTCTTTTGTTCCTTTTTTCGAAGGGGAAAAAAAAAAGCATTCATTCAGCCAGATCAACAAATTAGCTTTGAAGTTAGTATCTCAAATCTACTCACCCACAGCTGTAGTGGGTGGACAGGCGGGCGCGTGCATTGTGAGATGAGTAGCCGCATAATTAGGTGGATGTCAATTTCAGGGCTGCCCCTCCTGCTCCGATAGGTGCACATTGAGTCGATGCTTTGTTGACTTGAAATGAGAGAGGGTATGCATTTATTATTGGGCATTTGAATGAAAAATTGAAAATTGTGCTCACTCATTAAAATGTCGCTAACTATTTTACTCAAAAGAAATTAAATGGTGCGAAAAGAGACAAGTCAGTGTAAGGCAGTGCCACGTGTATGTTCCACATCTCTCCTGTATATCTCTCTTAGATTTGCAAATGACTGTTATTCCAAACGGAAGAAACAAAAAGATTTACAGGTGGCTGTGTTGGATTTTAGCTACTAATTAACCCGCAGCCTCAACTCAACGGTTTAAACTCTCAACTTCGTGGGATTGGATGATAAATTGCGTATTGTTGCCGTGGTCGCCGGCATCTTGTGTGATAGTGGGGAAAGAAAAGAAACATTCATAAGAAAGATATGTGTGCGGAGCACATATAACTAATCAATTATATTCCTTTTTGCCTGCCAACTAATCAATTATATTCCCAGAGATAGAAAAAGAAAATATAAAAATTAAATTAGGAACGTTGCAGTTCTCTTGTAATTTTAGTTGCCCTGCTAGTGACAATACAATGTCGCCCGACGACGTAAACAAGGCTCTATGCATCCGGCAGTTCATTTTCGTCGGTCGATCATTATGTTTGTGTATGCTGCTACGTACTACTACTATCAATTTCTGAGCTGCTACGTCCCTTATGTCAACATTCGTCGATTATATAGATGGACATAAACATTAAACAGACACGAGTGTGGGGATCATAATACTTTGGATTTCAAAGGGCTCGTAATTACCGCTGAAACGAGCATTTCAGTGTGCATTCCACGAATTGCTTCCCAATTTTTTTGATCAGAAACCGATCCCGCTGCCTGCTGAAGAAAGTAAGAAGGAAGTATGGCTCAAACTAAGCCCCAAACGTACACGAGCTCCACCCATCAATGCACGTGACCACCGTAACCCAGTGCGGTTTTCTGATGAATATATGCAGCTCATGCCCATTTTGAAACCTCCAGCATTCATTTTCTAGTGGCATCCTACGTTTGTATTTAATAAACCTGCGGGTTTTCGGGTCGTAATTTTCTTTCCCTCTCTTCCCACCAAACACGTGTGCGTTGAGCTTTTGCATTGTGAGTTTGAACTAATCATAATCAATTGGAAAAGGACTTGGCCTTGCCTGGAATTTCAAAGCCACACGCGCATGATTGGCAGTTTCTAGTGGCGGAGGATTTACTTCCGTTTCGTCTGGGTAAAGTCGAAACTTTTGTCGCCAGGTTTTATCTCGGCAAATCAAGGGTTTTTCCCCCACCAGACACCCAAGTTGATCCTTCACGACTTTTCATGCATAGGAGCGAGGGACCGTTGATGGTCGCTGTCCTCCAATCAGAAATATTCAAGGCGGGGCCCATTTGCTTGGCCCGGCCAAAAGGGCACTTTGGTAGTTTTCTCAGCCCCATGCAAGAAAATAACAAGTGCATCGTTCTTCTCGTGTGTAGATGAAGCGCCAGGAGCGTTATTCCGTTGCCGTGCCACTCTCACTTCACGTTCATCACCACCCAACCCACTCTTCACCCCTCTTCTCTCTCTAAAATTTATCTCTATAAAACGCGCGCACCCGCTCCGCCATCCGATCATGGTTTAATGCAAGATCTACCAGTGCTTTCTTGCTAGCCAGCTGGTCGACATAGGGAGATTATGGGATCAGATGACGGAACCCCGCCGAAGCTCTCCTTGTTGATTTCCCGGCCAGACAAGCCTCCGGAAATGCCGACTCCTCCTCTGCACGCGGCTGCCTCCGTTCCGTTTCAATGGGAAGAAGCACCGGGGAAGCCCAGGCACCGCCCCGCCGAATCCAAGCCCAAGATCGCCAGAACCTTGAACCTGCCTCCCAGGCTGCTGTCCTCAGAGGCCAAGGTGTCGAGCGCGCCGTCGCCAACCACCGTGTTGGATGGTCCTTTCATGGGTCGAACCATGTCCTTGACATCTTCTAGGAACGCGAGTAAGGATTATTGGAGCGGCAATTTTGGGTCGAGCAGGTGGAGAAGTTTCAAGAGGAACAGAGAGAAGGAGGAGGAGAAGGAGGTTGGGGGAGGCAGTTTTGACTTTCCAAACCGTGCTGCAGATGGCCGCACCGCCAAAGGAAGGATATCAAGGGCTGGGATTAGGAGAAGAGGGAGCTTTTTGGGGAACACGTATAGGTCAAATCTCTGGGTAAGTCTCCACACCCCCCCCCCCGGGGAGGGTATAATTTCCCATCCCATGGGAGTTCCTTCCTTCGGTCTGTTTGATGTTCTATTAAGCTTTGTTTTTCCACTTATTCTGTCTGCCGTGTAAAGATGACGCGTCATTTCCGTTTCGCGGAAAGACCCAGGTGCTCTCCTTCGTCGCTATGGGCGTCGGTCTCGAACTTTTTTTCAAAGACGGACCAGAGATAAACACAGAATCCTTCAAATATTTTTATGAATTTTTTATTGAAAAAGCGAAGGGTGTGCGCGTATTTAGCAATTTATTGATAGAGGGATGCGAATAAGGAGCGTTGTAGGATGCTGTATGACAATTATTTTCCAGTATCAGACAGATTAGCTGCTGCCCGCGGAATCAAACAAATTGATAAACTAATCTCGCGAGGTTCCATATTTAATATCGAAGTAAATAACACACTTGTGCACTTTTCCTCCGAGGGGCAGAGAGAAACGTTATGGTAGGGAGAGCTGTACGTGCACTTGCCGCTTTGAGATTATTTGCTATTATAATGATGAGTGATGATTAGTTTGGCGGATTAGCTAATAGCTATGGAGAAGAATAATGTAATTTTACGAAAGTGCAGGCGAGCATTTGTGATAGCTTGAAGCAAGTGGTCCCGTGGAGACGCAAGCAGGAGGGGCAGACAAAGTAGGAGCCTCCTAATTAGAATCCTTCCCCACCCTCTCACTTGTACAGGACAAGCCAGTATTTTATTGTAAGTTAACGACATTATATTCACCTATTGCAAATATTGTAATTCCAAAGTGCCAGAGACTTGGTCGTTTCTCCGATGGGCCACTACAGAGAGACTTGGGAGTAGCTAGCTAGGGCGAATCCTTGCCCGAGTTATATGGGAAAAGCAGAAGCATGTGGTGCGTATGGCTTAAACAAAAGCATTGTATTAAATGCAAGTCGCGATAACTGGGATCGTGCTTGCCTTCACTTCGCCGGTGTTATTAACGTGTGCTAGAGTAGTTTAATTTGTTGACTATGACAGATCTGCTACTCACTTGTCAACGTGGAATTGACTATTTGTCCGATCTGCATTCAAAGTTTTAAATTTTAATACCCATCTGGGTCGCCACTGAATCATCATGAACATCCACTTGTTTCGCTGTTTCCTTCTCGCGGCACAGGCCTTCAAAAGCACACCTCTGGCTTCGTCCATCCATTTTAAAAACAAGATTCTTTTTATAAATTATGTCATTACCCTTAATTTCTAATATAGGAGTTATTTAACTGATTAAAATGATCTTAACACGAGAACGCTATGAAAAAATGAATACGTCCATAATATTTAGGCCATCTCCATAGCAGGATTGGTTTTTTTTTTTTGGGAAAAAGGCCGCTATATTAATGTGGCGTGTATCACGTTAATATTAATGAAAATTCAGTTTAATCATTTTACTGTCAATCAAAATTGAGAAACAGGGAAGGTACGAACAGTTTCATTCTCGTTTCATTTTCAATTCTTCCAGGGGTACGAAGCTCAGAGGCAGAATCATCAACTCACTGTTAGCATCAAAAGCAAAAGAGAAGAGAAACGAGCAGAATCTGCTTATGCCCAACAAGCAAAGCTGAAAGTAGGACCCTCAGTGTCTGGGAAGGCAACTTGTCATCCTCAAATATTCCTCCAACATCAAATTCCCCTAAAGCTATTATTCTCCTCTGCCTTAACCTCTTTTACAATAACCTATGCGCCATCTCCCATCGTTTCCCTTAACACAAAATGCTCATATATAAAAATATAGTATTGTCATCAGGATATCCACCCTTCAAATAAAAAAATTAATCAACCAATAAAAGTTGGTTCTGGAGTCATCAGTTTCAATCCCGTCTCCTATGTAAAAGCTTAGTTGATGAACGTCATATAAGTACTTATTCTTAGAAAAATCATTGAGGGTACCAATACTTTTTTTTTTTCAATTTTTAATTTGGTACTTATTTATTTTTTCTCTTAATTAAATCCTTAATTTTATTCTATGAACATCATTAATCCTTATTAAAGATTAAAAATACTAATAGAACAAAGCTATAAGAAGTAATGTTTCTAAAAAGCAAAATTAAATGATTTAGTTAATAGAAAAAATATATATAGATATCAAAAACTAAGAGATAGTATAGTTAACGGTTTTTTTTTTTTAATTGTTAGAATGAACCATGATCTGCTCAATGCTCCTTGGATTTTGTTCTTCTCCACACATACACATGTATTTTTCACACTTCCGGTCCTTTTTTTTTTTTTTTTTTAGCTTTTTTAACCCCTTGCTTATTGTCTGCTTCCAGACTATTTATTATCCGTTGAAATAAAAGAAAATTGCCAAAATATTAAAAAAAAATAGTTTAAAGCATTCAAAAAGAGGTTTAAGGAGGAAGAAAGAAGAGCGCACATGAGAATGCAATGATAAGAGCTGGGGCCTGACTGCACAGGGACCAGTTCGTGTTTCCCAAAGCAGCAGACTGTCTTGTTCTATAGGTATTTAAAAATTTCAAATCAAAATCCTCTTCTTCCTTCATCGCTCTGCCGTTGCAATTGACTATCCAGGCTTACCTTATCGCTTCCCTTGGTTTAGCCATAATCGAACACCACCATTCCTCGAGTGAAGGGCTGCCCAGAACGTCCGCGTTCATTGTGCTCCGGTTTCAAATGGGACGGGGATTTCAGCTAGCCTAGTCCCAGTCCCAGATGAGCATAAGTGATAGAAGAAGAAGGCGCCAAAGCCGAGCAAAAGGAGTTTTCTGCATTTTCCCTTGAAGCCCCACTTTCTATCTGATCCCTTCAAACAACATCGCTGATTCGCATTGGTTTTGAGAGGTTCACAAAAAAAGGTAAATCAATTGAGCACCTTAGCTAATGAGGCCTACTGTTGTAAGTTGGCTTAATTGAGAGTGAGTTCTTGATTCTCTAGTAACTAGAAACAGCAGCAACTATTCACCCGATTTCCTCATTGCTTTGAATATAATATTGTTGAAATTTTACACTTTTTTAAATGCTTTTGAGGTTTTGAGTCGCAGGCTGGTTTATTTGTCGCGAGTTTGTTATCATGATGTGCGTGTTGGCGAAGATTTGGACAAAAATGAACTTTTTTCTTCTATAATTGCAGCGTCAAGAAATTCCAGTGCTTAGTTACTCTCGTTTCTGGTATAGTTTAAGAAGCGTCGCAGGGCGCTATGATGCTATCTGCTGCTGATTTTAATAATCTGAGCTTTTGGTATCTTGTTAGTTGTTAGAGAAGAGGCCGTCTCTTTCTTTATGTCTCACTTTTCTTGGCGTTTCTTCATTTGTAGATGCTGCGCCCCCCTTCAAAAACACCTTCTTAGCCTCCCTACTCAAAAATTTAATCTTTCTTCATAATTTTAATGAATAAGGTGGATCTGCTTCCAATATCTTCATTGATGGGTAAGTTCACAACTTCGTCATCTGAGCCTTTATCTAGCGAGGCTTCCAATTATGACGAGGTTTTCATGCAGCAGAGCTTGCTCTTTGACGATAGTCTGAAGGTATCTACTGACCTTTGCCAGCTTTACGGTCTAATGCACTTACTTTATCACTTTATTTTTTATGGAAAACTAGAGTGGGTCCTATGTAAGCTTGAAACAAGATGCATTGTTCATGACTTATGAATAGTACGTCTTTCAATATATTGATGATTTTTTTTTTCTCTCCTTTTTTTTTTCCCCCACAGCAAATCCTTAACTAAGCGCTCTAGTAAAAAGGAGCTTTTTGCTGATTCTTAGTTGTTTTATACATGTTTCTAGGATTTGAAAAATCTCAGAACTCAATTATACTCGGCAGCTGAGTACTTTGAACTCTCATACACCAATGATGACCAAAACCAGATGTGAGTTACTTGATGGAGCTGGTATGTATCCATGCTGGTTTTAATGTACAATGTATATCCGTCCTTACATATAGTTTTTGTTGCATCTCATGTTATCAGAGTGGCAGAAACATTGAAGGACTATACTGTCAAAGCTCTTGTAAATACAGTGGACCATTTAGGTTCTGTAACCTATAAGGTGAACGATTTGTTGGATGAGAAGGTTGTTGAAGTTTCTGGAACAGAGCTACGCGTATCTTGTATCGAACAGGTTTACTTAATTTTTTTCCCATTCAGCGCAATAAAAATAAATTCTATTATATGTATATTTGAAAGCAGTTGTAGAAGACCAACATATTACTAGGAATTATTGTTCATAAAAATCTAAGTATTACTTCTTCATAATGGAGACTTTGGGAAGATATGTGTTTCATCAGTTATGGTAGTAAAGTTGGCCTTTTAGAAAGTGATGTGAATAAAATACATGAACCACGTTAGGTAGGTTGATGCCCCTTTGGAAAATTGTGGTAGAAGTATAATGACGGTGAAATAAAGTATCAGTGTTACTGTCAAAGTGAGTTGCTCTTGTGGTGGCTAATCCTAATAGATGGCCAAAATGAATGTGCGCTTGTCTTGAAATTGAGTATTTTTCATGGAGGCCTAAGTGGGATGAAGGACTCTCTTGCAGAAGTTAGCTATTGAAGTGGGAGAATTAATTCGCTTATGTACCCCGCAGAGCATTTCATACAACTAAGTGTAGGATTAGGCATCCCATACTATGTTGGTTTCCATCGATTGTCTGCCCTTGGAGAGCCATTTTGACAGATATACTTTGTAATACTTCACTCTATTTTGTCATCGGTCAAAACTCTTTGTAGTTGTAGGTAGCCCTTTTTGGAGTTGCCGACCGGCACCAACTTTGACACTAATTGATAGGCACGAAGTGGGGTGGGAAGCGCCTTCCCAAAAACTGAAGCTGAGGAATCACCATACTTGTTTACCTCATAGAGCATCCTATATTGGCAAGGCATTCCATGCGATCTTGGTCTTTAGCAATTTCTCTTGTAAAATATTGTGTCAAAAGCTTGCTTCAATTATTCCTGGCACTTGTTTGGCTTTGAAAGCTAAATAAAGATTGTGCGGTGCAAAGCATAGGTTTGCATCAACAGTTGTGGCTTCAAAGGCTGCCCCTCATGGATATGTTGTTATTATTATTAAATAAAGAAAAATTTATGTAGGCTGCTTACATTGTTTTCCCTCAATGTGGTATGTTAGAGAATGAGGACATGCCATGAGTATATGGATCACCAGGGGCGTGTCCAGCAGTCACTAGTGATCAGTACTCCAAAATATCACAAGCGCTATATCTTGCCAGGCAAGAACATCTCATATTCTTCTATTATTCCTCTAAATTCTTTTGAGAACAGTTTCTCTGTTTTTCTCTTAATTTTACTTTGCCATATATTAGTAGTCGTTTCCTGTAATGTTAAATAATCACATTCTTTAAATTCCAATTCCAATCTTCAGATGGGGAGACCGCGCATGGTCCTAGCCGCCCAAAATCAAAATATGTTGGATGCAACCTAGCCCTAGACGATGAAGATTGGCATCACTTCAAGAGTGGTATCTATATTCCTCCATGACTTTATTTCAGTCCTTTAGGGAATGACCTTTAGTTGAACTTTTATTTTGTGTTATGAAGCTGTTCGCGCTACAATCAGAGAAGTCCCTACATCTGCACCGAGGTAATCACCATTCACACATTCTATACATTAATTCCAGGGCTTTGTTGGTTTAGGAAATCCTGTTTCACTGAATTGCACGGCGTCGTGATACATTTTTAACCTTTAAAAAGCAGGAAAGGGCGTTCCCCTTCACCTTCTTTACGGACTCAGAGACCTGGATCTTTTTCAAGCACTTCCACCCTTCCAAAAAGAGACTCAGGTGATATACTCGTCTACTGATATGATTATCTTATTGTGCATGTGGTTGTTATTTTAATTCCTCCCCTTTCCGTTTATTTCTTAATCAATTTTCGCATATAGAGCTATTGAATCAATCTTTACGTGCACTGCAGAGAAGAGGGCGGTTTCACCTCACAGATTTCCACTATTCCGTAGTGGATCTCTTTCAAGTAGGCCTACGACACCGAAGTCTAGTAGACCAGCCACTCCAAACAAAAGCAGACCAACCACTCCTACTCCTTCTATTGAGAGAAGATGGGTGAGTAGTAGGCTTTCCCCCACCTTAATTTACTTACTTAGATGACATTATCATAGATGCATTTAGTTTGATGCCTTTCTTTTTATGTTTGTATCAGTACCCTTCCGAGCCTCGCAAATCAGCTTCAATGCGATTACCTGCTGAAAGAGACAGAGACAGAGACAGAGACAGAGGCAGAGACGAGGAACAGAACACCAGTAAAGGCAAACGTTTCCTGAAGGCCTTGCTTAGCAAACGCAAATCAAAGAAGGATGAGATGTTATACACATACTTGGATGAGTACTGATAATTGTATAATCTGATAGAATGCGAAAGGAATGATGCGTTCTGTATAAATTTTTATACGTTAATTTTTCTGTCCTCGCTTCCCCTTCTTTTAACTGATGTTCCCAGCTCAGTTCTTAATGATATTTCGATTTTCATCAATTGTACGTGTAGAAGTAGGTTATTCTCTTCTATAGAAACAATTTTGGCTCCATTACTCATTCTTTTTGCGCTGCAAGCGGAAGAAGAGAGAGCAGAAGTTTTTTTTATTTTGGCCCCCGGGGGGGGTTATCTCTATCAGAAAATCGACTTTCCGAGTTTGTTGGCTCATGTTGCCAACGCCATTTTTTTTTTTTGGGGGTTATGCAACTGCGTACTAAACTGGTCTTGCGTTGATTAATTGGAACGAGAATTTGGTACTTTTGTCGTTCTCCATATCACCTCATCATGCATTGTACTGTAGTCTTGATCTAAAATTGATTACAGCCTATGAATTAGTCTGATTGTAAAATCAAACACCAATTTGCAGAAGTTTGCCATCAGCACAATCAAGCAACTGAAAGCAAGTTGCAAAATCAAATACTAATCTGGAGACCAGCTCCCTCAGGAAAATTTCTATTTTCCAATGTGCATGTTTCGCCGGAGAAGGCCCAAGTGCTAAAAATGTGCTCTTGGCCCATTTAACCTTCAGGCCCAGTTTCCCTCGGGACAAGTAACTGGCCAATTGGGTAAGGAACGGACACGTCGGAAGCGGCGAGAGTCAAGCAAAAACCTATTAAAACGGAGTGACGGAGGACGGATCAAAAGAAATAAATGACATGGCAAAACGCGGAGCACCAGATCAATTGAACGATGCAAGTTGAGAACCCAACGGCCTTCCTACCTTGTGCGAGGGGCAGGGGATCCGGATGCGAGGAAGGAGAGAGCGGATGTGATGTCAACAATAAGCACAACAGTATATTCCAGCGGACGATTTGGTGTTTGAGGACTGATATGGTGTTAATCTCTTGTTGAGTTATTCACAGGGGCCTTATCGTTCACTGGCGTGACAAGCATGTTCCCTGCTTCTTGCTCGCTCTCTTCGCAACAGCCGAACCTGGCTTTTTGAAGGCTCCTCAACCGAAGATCACCACTATCTGGTCCCAGAAATCGTGAAAAGTCCCCGGCAGGTTCTCTGATACCCTTCTTTTTTTTGTTCAATATTTTTGCAGTGACGAACCTCATTCATGATTTATTAGGGAAATTACGCCAGGGTCAATCGTTTTTTCTTTTCTTCTTCTGAAAGGTGGGGATGACATGTTATTTTTCATCCTTACATTTCATTTTCATTCTTTCGAGCTGCGTTTACTCATTGCCAGTATGATGTTGGCTTCTAAAATCTAACACCCGCGGGCTTAGCGTTGGTAGCTTCTTGCTCCGTCCATCCTTTTGGAGTTCATCGTGTTTATTCCGTTTAAGACGAGTTCAAAAGGTGCTTTCCAATTGATGGCTTCATCTTTTGCTGTACGTAATAGGATTTATATTCATTTATGCTCATACAATGCGACTACTCGCAACAATTGCCCATGTTAATAATTTTCAAAATATATTTCTGAGTTGGCATAGTGATGGTATTCGAAGAGCTGAGCTGCAATCTGTTTATACATATGAGTGATGAAGTGAAAAGAAGAAAGTGAATATCTTTACCCCCATGTATATATATTGAAGGAGAAGGATTATGTATGTCAGTACAAAATCAAGGGCTGGGGAATCACCCTCTTGCACAAGAGTGGAGCCAGAATTAGAGCTCCGAGGCGATCTGAATAAAATCAAGCAAGAGACTTGGATTTCCCCGTTGAACAAACGACGCCGCCTACCCATCCTCATCTTGACCATGTGGCCTAATTTATCTGTCATTTTTTAAAAATAATGAGTACTGTGCTTAAAAACAGCCTGTGCCTACCCATTGAAAACTAAGGATCATTGATAAACGTAAGAAGGGGAACTTCCAACTCGAACTGGTTTTAAGCTTCCCAGAAGCTTTCTTCCACTTTCAATTGGCAAGACAAGGAGCTCAAAGAGGTAAAATAGGCAGAGATGCAGTTTTTCCGCTAAGCGACTCATAAGGGAGACATTGCTTCCAACTTGAATGTCGGATTTAGAAACTAACACCTTTTTCTCCGTCCCTGCAAAATATCCGTATATTTTAGATCACATTAAAAAGAAGAGAAGGGCTTGGGGCTGTTGAGAAATTAGTAAAATTAGTGATTGGTCCTTGCTGAAATGCAAACGCCAGCATGATTTTTTTATTCTTGGGGAAAAAAGGTAGATTACTCACAGGATTTTTTCTTCGGCAAATTAGTCCAATCATGTGCGTTCATCTTCAATTCTGATGCCTTAATCAAGTCTAGAAGAGTCTGGTTGACCTGTAATTTGCAATTTTATTATTCAACACCAATATCGTATGATAAAATAATGCCAATATTAAGTCTAACACAGATGTTAAGATCCAAAATGCTAGTTTCCCTGTCTGTAATTTACGAGAAAATTATACCTCTTCAGCCCTCTCATGGCTCACCAAATGACCTCCGTGAAGATCTACCATTCTAGCCATTGGTTGCAGCCTCTCTGCAAGTCTTCTAGCGTAATGTATCTGAGCTATTATATCATGCCTGGACGTACAGGAAACTTCCAGTCAATTCCAAGTTAAAACTACAAACTACATTTTGTGTGGGTGTCTTCCAAGCAAAAGTCGCTATGGCGCACGAAATGCACACCAGTGGCAACTGGCAAAGGCCCTTTTATTTTTCCAAAGGGTAGCAGGTAAACATGATTAGAACCTGATCTCAGGTCTTGCTACGTTAAGCATGCTAACTATAAAGCCTTTTTCTATCAAAGAGAAGGCAAAGTGATATACGTTTAGTCCATCCACAAATGGTAGGATTAATTATTTTGTCTGCGTGGATGGGCGTAATAATCTGAATCATTTTATGGAGCATCGTCACTAACTTTAAAATAAGACGACGCACCTGCCATGAATGACTGCTATAGGAAAACCGGCAGACTTGATCAAATCAACTTCTGTTTGAGTAATTTTATGCGTCCAGCATGCATTGACTTGGCCCTCAAAACCAAAATTAGATTGCATCCCAGTTGCTGATATACCTTTCACATATTGCTGACAGAAGCGTTAATTTGAATACGAAATAATTCAAGGTAAAAACTCTGAATAGTGACCAAGAATAGTATTGATTAATCCCTTAAATGATGATACATCAAAGTTCCGCTGTTAATTGTCACATTAAACTTCACAGAGAATCGTATCAAGTAATGCTATCGTTTAAAAGATAGACTCCTGCAGCAAATGCATATCTTTCTATTTCATAAACAACTGCTGTTAATTGTTGAAGTTGAACTACTCAGATAATCCATCAAACGAATAATGTGCTTAAAGCCCAAAGGTGGAATCGCACTTCCTGTGGTGCATGCACATGCGTTTGTGTCATAGAATTTCCGCGATGGTGTGTGAATCTGCATCTTTTAATTATAATGCATTAACCACAACTAGCTACATAAATTCTGTCTTCTATTAAAATTTCTGGTGCATTGCTATTTAACTGAAGAAGCAAACACTAACAGAATCCTAAAGCAGAATTTAGCACCTGCATGTAAAATTTTATTCTAATTATTTAAAATGGAATAAGTCAATATACCTTACCTGAAATAAGATTGTTCTCCTCTTACTGGTTCCAACATATTCCTCAAGATATTCCTGCGTATCACATGTAAATATTTTATTTATGATTCATCCTAGTAAGATGAATATCGATTTATCTCAAATCTCTGAAGGTGGGGAGGACAAGACACAGGCTGAATGACAGCAGCAGAGCCAGAACCACTTTACAGTTTACAAGACACGACTACAGCTAGGGTGACGATAGCCAGGGAGAAAACTTGTTATTAGGAAATGATCAGCGAAATCTATAATGTTTTACCTTTGTGTAGTGGGTTTCCAAGTCAACGGCAGCCCTCTCCTCAGGAGCCTTGGCTTTCAAGAAACGGTAAGCTATGGAGAGTGTTTGTCTGTCAAACTGCAAAAAGACAGAATAATTGACAGAAGCGGCAAAATATAACTATTGAAGGCGCTGGTGTGGGTGTGAATAAATGGAACTAAGCTTCCTCTTTTGTCTTATTAAATTCTTAAGCATTTAACCTCAATAGGAATGTCTGAGGCTTAATATCACCAGCGAATGAATGTTAACCAACAAATTGCTTCATTTAACCACATCCATTTTCAAGTCATTGACAAATGATCGACAACAATAGACAAGCTGCGTAATTCCTTTTTTACAAAGACAGTCAAAATGGAGTTTGATTAATATCAATAGAATCAGGATAAGGAAAGTGCATGCTGAATTGGGTTGGTGATTAGAAGTACAGGTACGATGTGACTTTATAATATCACAGAACTACAACAATAACGCTTCATATATAATAGAACTGTAGAACAATTGGATAATTGTGATCGTGTGGCAGAAACATCGTCAATATTCTTCAAAAATAAAAGATCGAGGTAATAGGCAGTTTCAAAGGACTGCTTAAAAAGATAATACCTTTGGAAAGCATTCCCAACCCCCGCCCGTCACATTGAGCAGCGCCAATGAGAGAACTCTATCAGGCACCATTGCTGCTAGTTTACAGGCTATCATAGCTCCTGTTTCGATATTAAGAGACTCGTATAAGCCAAAGACTAATCCAACTTCAAGTTACAAACAGTTAAACCCCCCCCCCCCCGGGGTGAAAGTTCAAACCACAACTAATTTTGTTAAGTAGTAAAATTGAGCCAAACAACATATACATCTACCTCAACCCAATTTCGGGAAAGAATCTGAAGGGGGTTAAGAATTACTAAAACTAGGCTTGAAGTGCACCACTAACAGAGATCTGAGTCGAGTCATGGTCATCTTAAGTTTTTAACCATGTAAAATTTATAATGCAGATTAATGCAGAAACCTACTCTAGGGGTTTCATAAGTAAATTACAGATAACAGATATCTCACCCATCGAATGCCCAAAAACATGGGCTTTTCTCCAACCTAAATGATCTAATAAAGCTATTGCATCCTTTGCCATTATCTTGCTTCTGCAGTAACAATCACCGGATTTAAGTTAAAATTCATATCCTTCTGCAACAGAAATTCCATGAAAATTATCACTAGGCAAAAAAAAAAAAAAAAAAAAAAAAAAAAAAAGAAAAGGAAAATAGAAAACAAAATCATGAAAAGCGCTTGGTATTCCACAACAACCAAGCCCGAATATGTCTGCTAAATAAACCACCCCTTTGGCGGTGGTTTCTCCCCATAAATAATTATCTGTGATAAAAACAACTCATCAACTCAAATTCCCCTCTTCAGCGTCTACCCCGAGGTTCGTGCAACTACAACAAGAAAAGATCATTGGCATTTCTCTCTCTCGGTACGCGGCGTCTCTATATCAGAATGGACTCTGAAGACTATCAACCATTATCGTACTTCCACGAAGTGATGCACAGACAAGGACAACTAAATCCAAAAAATTGAATTATAACTAGAGCATTTAAATATAATAACAGGGATCGACAGAACCAGTGCTCGGATTCCTGAGTAGAAAAGCAAAAAGGGAATTCTTCAATCAACCACAACCCATGAAACGTAATTATAATCGAATGAACTTCAGTTGCATGAGATGAAAATGAAAATTTGTTTGAACATGAAAGTTAAAACTCACGTATAGTCGGACTTTTTGGTAGGTACGGAGCTCCGACCAACACCGCGGTTATCAAATGCACAGACCTGGATACCACGATAACTACTACGATAGCTGCATCCGCATCGTTCTTCCGGCGAACTCCAACTTACAGAGTCGGTTTCATCGTTGTTTGGGGTGAAGGTTCCTGTCAGCCCCGTGATTTGCGGTCTCCAGGATTCATGGGTCCCCGCCAATCCTGATCATCAATCCATTGCATCCCCATAAGTTGAGCGACGCAGAAAAAATTTGAACTAAGAAAATGAAGGAAATCCAAATGAGGGAAGAAAAGAACAAGACGTTAATGAAAGGACCTATGATGAGGAGGACTTTGGTGGGTCCATGGCCGTATGTTCTGTAAAATAACTTGACCCCATTGTCGGCGGTGGCTAGCCGCGTCCCGGCGCAGCAATACGGCATTGTTTAGTCTGCGGGAGGGTAAACGTGAGCAACGAGAGAAGAACTGGGTGGCCTGCTGATCGTTCCGTATGGTTTTTTCGACACGGGGAAGGATGAAGAAGAATTGAGAGATTTTGGAATGTGTCTGACGTGCGTTATATAGGAAGAGGGCGGACTCTAATGCCAACACGTGGCGGATTGAAAGAAGTTGGCGCCACATAGGATGATAAAAACGACTTAAGGAGTACTTCTTAAATCACTTATTCTCTCATCAATAAATAAAAGTAATTTGAATTAATTAAAGAGAAAATTGTAAATAAAGACCCCTCAATATATAAAGTTGTAATTTAGAATCTGAATTTGAAAAATAGCAAATAAGGACTAAGTCCCACTTTTGCAAATATGAATTGTGATGAAATGTCTGAAATGCCTTCAGTTAAATGACAAGTTAACTATGAAAAATGACAAATTCACTCTAATGAATGACAACTTTAATAGACCAAATCACAATTTGGCTGAGGGGTATTTCAAATTTCATCCATATTTCATATTTCTAAAAGTGAGACCTGATCCTTATTTGTTATTTTCTAAATTTAGGATCCCAAATTTTAATTTTACATATTAGGAGGTCTTTATTTACAATTTTTCCATAATTAAATAAGAGCGTTCTCATATTTTTAATTTTCATATAAGGATGTGGATTATTTTTATTAAAAATCAAAAGAATTCAAATAATACAACAACACACTCATTCCGACGCTACGTCATACTTTCTCCAGAGGATGGTCCGCGGCTCTCTGGGGAAAAAGACGGAAATAGAGGCTGCGCCGTCCTGTGATCCGGAGTCCACGCATTGGTGCTGCAGTTTGTTTCTTTTAAAGAGATAATAGTAATAGTAATATAAGAAGCAAATCCCCATTTAACAATTTGCGCCCCCTAAATTTTGTTATTAAAATTAAACGGGCGACGTGTGCATAAATTTGCTGCGCAATTCAATCATGAACCTTTCCTCGTTTGCTTCAGGACGAACGAATATAGGAAAGTGACAGTTATTTCAAGCATGCTCTCAATTAAAAAAAGTTTAGTTTACAAATGACTGCTGTTCGATATTCGCTGAGTAGGCAAAATCTGAAGATGAGAGGCGGCCGCGAGATAAGGATGCGAGGATCCAGGTCGGAAGGAAGCGAGTGGTTGTTGGGAGAAAAGAATACTCGTTTTATAAGAAAACAACAGATATACCGACAAATCAGCTAACAGCATTATCCAAATCGAGTGGTCAATGTTGCCCCCCTCACCATTTAGCTGTTTGATGATTGTGGATCAGATTCCATCGTCCGCATTTGTTAAATATTATACTAGTAGCTTAAATTACTTCGCAATTTATTCTCCCTGGCTCACGCTACTGATATATACATATATCTATTTTTAAAATCATGTGAGTCAACTGAATAAATTGACTTGACTAAATTATACCCCATGCTCGAGCGATGTTACCGCAAAAAAGACGAAGTGATTACACGTGTTGTAGGAAAAACACGTGACACATACAGTGGGAGCCCGGCACCATCGTAGCTCACTAGTTACCCGCAAGCTCACAGCAGGGCGGATTTTCTATTTGTTTTTTAGAATTACAATCAAATCCCACGTTACCCAAGGTCCTAATAACAACCTCAACAGTTTATAATGACAAGTCCTATAGTGAGAATGACAACTTTGAGACTTGTTTTCAATTGTTTCTTGTTTGGGACCTCATTATAATTCTCCCTTGTTTTTTTCCCGTCGAAGCTGTCAAAACAAACTAAAAGCCTCTTTGAAATTACTATTAAAATTACTTATAAATATCATATGCTTACCTCATATTTTATAAGTTATGATTAAAAAATTACTTATAAATCATTTCGAATCAACCCTAAAATGAGCGTCAGGTCACCTTAGGGCTTCACCGCGTTTAATTCGGAGACGTCGTCGCTCGATTGGGAAAAATCAAAATACTCCATTTCCTAAGTTGAATTTTAACAAGGTACTCGTACTCAGCATTGTTACAGTATTGAAAAAAATGTAAAATATACGGAAATTTCGGTCAAACGACCTGCCACAGAATCCGTCATCGAACCTAAAACATAAGCAGATCAATTATCAAACATGGTAATTAACGACCGTCATTTTGTAGAGTTCTCTTCAACCGAACGTCACCTGAAGGTCAACAGGAGCCAGAACAAGGCAGTAAAAGCAAACTCGTATATTTTCTTGCCTCGTTCTGTGACTGAGGAAAATCTTTTGGCAAAATGTAACTTGAAAATGAATACGGTTTTACGCTGACCGCGTAAAACTGGGCTTAAATTAGCTCCATTTTGGTGAGGGCATTGCGCTGCCTTAGTTCTGCAGAGCTTCTCAAGAAATTCAGGAAAATTCGTAGCTCAAACTCGATTTGATTTCTATCAAGGAAAACACCATCCACGCAGTATAACCAATAAATGCTCTTCTGCCTTGCAATATTCATGCCGAATATATCAACACTACAGTAATGTAAAGAAGCTCCTCTAGAGCTACATTTACAGTGAAGTCCTTCTCCAGGAGAATGTCATTCCCAACTCTTGGTAATAGCAATCTTGTACGGTTATTGAAACCCAATCGACCGCATGGAATATGCCCTAGACGCTAAATCAATGGCACTACTACATCCTTCTCATTCAATCAGCTTCGGTTATGTCCATCAACTAGGGGCCATCTTCTTGTGCTGTAAGACATCGAAACAGAAGGTCTTCAGTATATTGAAGTTCTATATACATGTGTTTAAAAACCAAGAGGCATACTTACTGCTCAAAATAAATCCTTGGAGCAAGCTCTGAGCTCTCTCTGCCTGCTCCGGAGTACCAGATATCCGAATAATCTTTTGTGTCTCCTCCGGTCTATCCTCTACGAGTGTTACAGTGGCTCCTGATAACTGCTTCCGCGAAAAACAAGTCAAAACATGTACATATAGTTTCCGGAATAAATATTCAAGCTAACATAAGTTCCTGTGAAAGTCATTGATGATTTGGTTTTTTAACTCTTAAAGGGGGGGGGGGGGGAATTACTTTTGGGTATAATCTTAGGCACACTATGAAACTGCATAAGAATTAAAAAAGAGCAACTCCAGTTAAGTTATTCAGCGGCAAGTTCTCATTTCTAGTCCAAGAGGAAATAAAATGTTTGTAAGAGTTTTTTTCCAAAAAAAAAAAAAAAACTCACTGGCGTCGGAGGTGAGGAAATAGTATAAAAGTAAGCGTGACAGTCAAGGCATCAACGGTGTGGAATGGGAACAGCTCGCAGCAGTCACCAATTATTGAAACAAGGAACCGAGGTTCAGTCATACACACCTCACTTATCTGAGCGAGCTTGTTTTTGGACCTTGCTGTGAGCTTTGGAACTGCATACTCCGGTATGACCACTTCAAGTGTACTTCTAGTGACAAGTGGTACAGGGATCCTAACCACACACAAAACAGAAAACTAAATTTCAATAATAGTATAAGCAAACAAACAAACATGTAAATTGACCCCAAAAAAAAAATAGAGAGGGGTAATGGATAAGCACGGAACTAGTGTGAGACCCGCAAGCTGCTGCATCATCCCACTAAATAATAAACAAGATCCTAGAAGTGATTCGATGCCATATGATGCAACATCGCAAAGAAATGAAGGGCTCATTTTACCTATTCAAGCTACTCATCATATCATCACGCCGATCACCTTCTTTCTGCTTTCCTGTCTCCGTGCTAGATCCTCCAGTTTCCTTTTACAAAAGAAGAGTCAAGTACATTAAGAAAAAATGATTGTTCGCAATATGGGGCAAGCTGACAGCCATTTCTTCGATAGGATATGGAGACTCTAGATCAGAGAGTACAACTAATTGTAAAATGCACTCAAATAACCATTGACGGAACAAATTATAATTTGATTTTCTAAACTTTAATCCATAATCAGCTACGGATTCATAAGAATTCAAATTCTTCATTTCCACTAATGTTGATACAGCTTTCCAACTCACCCAAAGAAAACGCAAACATCGCCCATGAAAAATAAGCACTTCATTTCATGTAAAATATTATATATTTTTCAATAATTTAATTTAAAAAAAAAAAAAACCACCTCGGGCATTTTGTTTCCTGTGAAAGAACTGAAGTGCTGACACAGAAGTGTCGATGTATCTCCCAACCATTCAAGTATCAGATGAGCCGGGAAAGGTAACATTGAAGAGGAAAAGAAAATTTGCCAATGCATCAAGATAATTACTTTTAAAGGAAGTGCAGCTGCCACAGGTTGCAGATTCTGATAAGTTATGGGAGTCTCGGTGCCAGTGTAACCCTCATGAACTGGAGCCATGTTACTGGAAGAAGACGCCTCTGCATTAGGTACTGAAGCAGATGATGGCGCTATGTCCCTTTGAAAGAAATCCCTGTACAAATAATTTTTTAGTCTTGAAGTCACCTCAAGAATAGCTTCTCGAGCTGCTTTGATCTCACCTACAATCTGCAGAGGACAATAGAAGAATAATTAACAAATCGAGAAAGCAGAATTTGAATGCCAGGCCTTTGTTTTAGCCTTGAGGAAGCAATTGTTTGAGATCCTATGTCATGCAATGGTTTGGCACCATATATTGACAATTTTCTAAAAGAGGCTATAAATCATTTGTTTAGCAGAACTAGTGAGTAGAGTTATGCCATGCATATGCACCATGTCTATTGCTTAGCGAGATAGGATTCGTCATTGTTGTAAGGCTGAGTTTCTATTATTTGACTACAATGGCTAGAGGAATCTAATTGGATATTGGTGCAGGCAGTAGGTCAAATGACAAACCTGTACCAGTTCATCATTTTTTGCAACACAGGAAGGTAGCTGCTCTCTGGGAAGAATTTGAATATTTGTGCCAGTGAGTCTGCTTATCTCTAATAGTGATACATCTCGTCCATCTAAACATTCAATGTCACTAGATGGAACAACAAGCCTGGTGGTTATAATGTTGTCATCATCTAGTTCAAG